AATGTAGATTACTTCTTGCTAAAAGTAGTTTCAAAGTGCTCTCCACTAAGAGATGAGAGAGTAGTTACTTCCCCACTACTCCAGATTTCTTTGTAGCTACTGACCTAATTGTTAGGGATTGCCAATGTGCCATTTGGGAGACAGGGGTCTTTGTGCTGCTGATACAAGATTTCCTCTAGGGTTCAAGACTGTTGGCTACAGGATGTCCCTGCACAACAGTTGCTGCTGATGTTCTGTACACTTTGAAGGCTTAGAATTAAGGGATTTGGGAATTAGTTTTTACATATCAATGGGACTTGATCTCTGAATATTTACAATGATTTACAAAGAATGTAGAGCATGGAAACGGGCCACTCAGCGCAACCAGCCCATGCTAGTGTTTATACTCCATGAGTCTCCATCCACTCCTGACTGCCTCCCATACCTTTCTATTCCCCTCTCCCTAATGGTAAGGTCTAGCTTCCTCTTGAATGCACCTGTATTATTTGATTCAACCAAATAATGCTTTGGGCAATGAGTTCCATTATCTCACTACAACTGTTGCTCGAGCATCTCCACAACTACCGCCATTCCTTGACACGCGCAAAAATGGCCTTCTACTCCAACATTATCTTGGAGGCTAAACACAGCCCTAAAATCCTTTTTTCCACCACACACTACCTCCTCCATGCCCCCCCTCAGGCCTCCTCAATCTTCATATCAAATGCCAAGTGCGAGGAGGTCATGGACTTCTTTTCATCTAAAATTCACAAAATCCGCCAGACAGCCTCATCCACCTGCCTCTTGTCACCCACCACCACTTTCTCTCTGTCCCCCTCACCCTCCCCATCATCTGCTCCTACCACCACCCCCATTCTACATTCCTTCCTCCGCATCTCTCCCTCCTCACTCTCATCCACCATCACTTCCATGAAACCCACCACCTGCTGCCTTGACCCCCTCCCCACCAACTTGCTGGTCACCCAGCGTCCCCTCCTCTGCCCACTATTGGCTGAGTCATCAACCAGGCCTTCTCCTCCGGATCAGTCCCTGCTCCCCTCAAAACTGCTGTCATCAACCACCCCCTCCTCAAGAAACCTTCCCTAGATCCTCAAACCCCAGCCATTAGTGCCCCATTTCTAACCTGCCCTTCCTCGCAAAAGTCTTAGAACGCATTGTTGCCAATCAACTTTGTGCACACCTCTCCTCCCACTCCCTCTTCGAACCCCTCCAATCCAGTTTCCGCCCTGCCCACAGTACAGAGACTGCACTTGTGAAAATCATGAACGTCATCATCTCTATCTGTGACCAGGGCTCCCTCTGCCTCCTTGTCCTCCTGGACCTCTCAGCCATGTTCGACACAGTCGATCACGCCATCCTCCTCCACCGCCTTTCCTCCGTCATCCACCTCAGTGGGATTGCACTCGCCTGGTTTGAGTCCTACCTCACAAACCGCCAGCAGTACATCTCACAAACAGCTTTTCCTCCCGCTCTCACTCGGTCACCTGCGGGATACCCCAAGGATCCATCCTTGGCCTCCTCCTCTTTCTGATCTACATGCTTCCTCTTGGGGATGTCATCCGCAGACATGGGGTACACTTCCACATGTACGCGGACGACACCCAACTCTATTTTTCCACCTCTCTTTGCGAACCCCAGTCCCCTGATATTGTGTCAGCCTGCCTGTCAGATCTCAAGGGCTGGATGAATGCAAATTTCCTTCAGCTGAACGTTGACAAGACGGAAGCCATACTCTTTGGCTCTCATCAGCATCTAAAATCTCATGGCTCTTACCTCCTCCACTTACCTGACCTCCCCCTAAAACTCTCCGAACCCGTACACAACCTTGGCGAAGCTCTGGAACTCCCTTCCTCACTCCCTTCACCTTGCTCCCTCTCTTCCTATTTTCAGGTCTCTGCTGAAGACCTTTCTCTTCAACCGGGCCTATGGTCACCTTCCTCCCCATCCCTCTGGCTCGTCGTTGGGATCCGTTACTGTAAAGCGCTCTGAGACGCCATCCAGCGTGGAGAGCGCGATATAAATCCATGTTGTTGTTGTTGTGCTCTCTGTGTGAAGTACAGTGCTGACTTCGAGATATGTTTTTAAGAGTGTTTTGAAGGTTTGGAAATTAAGGGATTTGGAAGAGAGTTTCAACATGCAATGGCATAGTGGCCAATGAGAGATGGTGGGATTGAGGAATGAGCAAGAGATTTCATGTTCCCTCTCTGATTGCTTTTCATCTATTCTGCTCCCTCTCTGGAACTCTATCTTGGACTCACTCCACCTTACCCCCTCACTTCCAACCTTTAAAGACCACTTTAAGACCCATTTTGTATGTGCTTTCAGTCATCTTTCCCCTCCTTCTGATCCTACTCAGCTCAGCCCCTCCCCAGCTCAAGTGTCCAAACATCTGTGTGAACCATTTAGAAACAACATACCAATGTGATAGATACTATAAACAGTAAATTGTTGTATTTAACACCAAAGCTGATAGAGTAGAAGGTACAGACAACAACAACAAAAATTACATTTTATAGAACGACTTTCACGTCGGGGGGACGTCCCAAAGCGCTGGACAGTCAGGGGTCAGGACCCGAGCATGGAGGAGGGGTGGGGTAGGGGTGAGGGAAGACAGAGAGGTGGCAGGGCGACTGAAGGTATGATCGAAGAGGAGGGTCTTGAGACCGGCCTTGAAGGAGGAAGGGAGGAAGCGAGGCGAAGGGACTATGGGATGGAGTTCCAGATTGTGGAGACAGAGAGGCTGAAAGCCTGGCCACTGATAGTAAGGTGGGTTGGGTGGGAGACATGGAGCAGGCCAGAGCCCGCTGAACGGAGGGAGCGGACGGTTGGTAGGGAGTCAGTATTCGATCCTCTGAGGGATGGGGAGCCAGTGGAATCGGGTGAGGGTGAGAAAGATGGGGTCACAGAGCCTGGTGCGTGAGAGTACATGAACTGCAGAGGTTTGGATGATCTGCAGCTTGTGAAGGGAAAAGTTGGGAAAGCTGATGAGCAGCGCTTTGGAACATCCTCCCAACTTGAAAGGTACTATATAAATGTAAATTTGTTGTTGTTGTTGTTCTTGAGGGAGGTCCCGTAATCAAGCCTTGAGGTGACTAATGCGTGGGTGAGGGTTTCAGCAGCCTGAGGGGTGAGGCAGTGGTGGAGTCTGGCAATGTTGTGGAGGTAGTGGTAGGCAGTGCCGGTCATGGCGTGGATGTGGGGGGCGAGAGGAGTTCAGGGTCAAACAAGATACCCAGGTTCCTGACTGGCTTAGTGAGGTTGAGTTTGCAGCCGTGGATGCTGATGCCGCCAGAGCCCGAGGTGCGGAGGCACTGGCCAATCGGGAGGACCTTGGTCTTATTGACTTCTTTAAATCAATTTTAAAAAAGTCACTCTCTGCTCATGTATAAGTCCTCCAACGCGTATGTAATGTACATGTATAACATTTATGCACTTTCTTTTAAAATTAAAGCTTTATTTCAGTTAACCCACATGCATTAACTTGGGTGAATCAAGGTGGCGAAGGAGCGAGGAACTGTGAAGCAGCCTGTCACCCATAGGAAGGAGAGAGTGGGCTAAGACATTCATTATACCCGTATAACATCTGTAAAATTGTAATTTTTTTTACAGCAAGCAGGTACATAACATCGAATTCAAAAATAAATCTGACACCTCGCTACAAAGGGATGCCTCTGGCAAGCCACTTCTAAGCTCAGCAAATTTATGTCAAATGTTAATGACAAACTTTATGATGTCTGCACTGTAAAGATAAAACAAAATGACATGCATCTTGTTGCAATGCTGCAATGATGACTGGGACATTATTGTAAGTAACGATAAGAGATAAGATAAAAACTTGTTAAAAGTACACATATAATATTGCAAATGTGGGTAATGCAGTAAAAGCATACACCATCCCTGAGATCCAGAGTTAAATCTTGCCTATATATTAAGATTATACAATCAAGTTATAATTGAAAATATTTCTGTGATAACCACCATATAATAATCCATGCATTCGATATAATTCCCATTCACGCATCTTCAAAATATCTGTGTTTCAGTTATCTAGAGCAGTGGACTGCATTTGTATGCAAACAGGGCAATCAAATTCCACGCAGCAATATTACGCACAGTAACGTCCCACAAAGAGTCATGGAGTGAATGATGGGGCTGATGGGGTCGCGGAGCCTGGTGCGGGAGAGGACACGAGTTGCGGAGTTCTGAATTGTCTGCAGCTTGTGGGAGGATGAGTTGGGGAGCGCAGGAGATAGTTGGCGTACAGAAGCCTGGACATGATGAACGCATGAGAGAGGAAGCCTGCGACTGGGCACCATGACAGACAGGTGGTGACAGGGCTCAGAGCCTCGTGCAGCACAAGCCCCGCCCCTCATTGTATAACACCAGCCCCGCCCCTCATTGTACAACACCAGCCCCGCCCCTCATTGTACAACACCAGCCCCGCCCCTCATTGTATAACACCAGCCGCCCCTCATTGTACACCAGCCCCCCCCTCATTGTACCCCACCCCCCCCTCATTGTACCCCAGCCCCCCCTCATTGTACACCAGCCCCGCCCCTCATTGTATAACACCAGCCCCGCCCCTCATTGTACAACACCAGCCCCGCCCCTCATTGTACACCAGCCCCGCCCCTCATTGTATAACACCAGCCCCGCCCCTCATTGTACCCCACCCCCCCCCTCATTGTACCCCACCCCCCCCCTCATTGTACACCAGCCCCGCCCCTCATTGTATAACACCAGCCGGGCTGGAAATGATTGACGTGCCAGGCAACCAATGGTGTGCTCTTTGTTTGGCCACGTGCTCTGAGAGCCGCCAATCAGTCAGGAGGAGCCGCTTGTGTAACGCCCGTGTGCGTCGGCAGGCCGTGGCGCGTGGCAGTGACGTCAGAGCAGTCGCGGGGGGGTGGGGGGGGGGGCCTGGGCGCCGCCTGTCACTCAGGTTGACGGACAGCTCCATGTTGGCGGGCGGTGGTGAGGGCGGTGCTCGGGGTGTGGGGGGGAGGGGGAGGGGGGGTCTGATTGACAGCTGCTGCGGGGACTTTTATTTTTATTTTGTTCTTTGTCTCTGCGTTTTGTTGCCGTCGTCGTTGCAAACAGATTGTGTCTTCCGGTCGGTTGTTTGCAAACTGCTTTCAGGGCAGAAAAGTTTCTGGCGCTCGGACCCGCGCAGCCGGTGAGTTGGTGTGAGGGGAGACCTGGGCACTGGGGGCACAGTCACTCACATACAGCCCCAGCGAAGGGTGTGGAGGAGCTGAAGCTGACACCTGCACACTGCTGGGCACCCGCTGCTGGGCACCCGCTGCTGGGCACCCGCTGCTGGGCACCCGCTGCTGGGCACCCGCTGCTGGGCACCCGCTGCTGGGCACCCGCTGCTGGGCACCCGCTGCTGGGCACCCGCTGCTGGGCACCCGCTGCTGGGCACCCGCTGCTGGGCACCCGCTGCTGGGCACCCTCTGCTGTGGAGGAACCAGAGGCACTTGGTGAGGTTCACACATTACTGGGGAATGGTATGGTCTCGCCTCTGCTCATGTCATTTTGTTGTTGTTGTTGTTCCTGATGTCACCCCTCCAGTCTCACACCTCCTAATGAAATAAAAACCAGAAGTTGCTGGGAACAATTAGCAGATCAGGCAGCATCCATGGAGAGAGAGAAGTGCGTCAACGTTTCAGGGGCGATGGCTTTTCGTCAAGAAGGATAACCAGGCAACAACAGCATCTTGCATTTATATAGCCACCTATTTACAGGGGCAGTGTCTCGGAGCGCTTCACAGTGGCGGACACCGGCGAGGACAACCTTGCCAGGCCCTTTACTTTGTTTGATTTCAACAGTCACCCGATATGCATTTACAGTTCCTAATGGTGAGGCTTCTGGCAACTCATACCTTTGTCCTCTGGATTTAAGTAAACGGTGGGAAGACAGATAAAGCTGCATTGTGTAAATTTTTGTATTTGTTTGGAATATGCTGAAGCATGCCAAGTAGTTTCTGGGTGTGCTTCTCCCACTTGTCTTTGTAAAGTGCAGTGAGACAGTCTCCTTAGGTCTACAGTATTAAGGGCATGGTTAATAGGTAAAAGAGAAAATTGTTGTTATACTCCTTGTTATACTTGTTATACTGTATAAATGCAATTTGTTGTTGAACTCTCAGTTTAGGCTAATACTCCAATGCAGTTTTGGGGTGTCCTGCATTGTTGGAGGTGCCTTCCTTCAAATGAGAGGTTAACCAAGATCCAACTTCCCTATTCAGATGGTCGTTAAACATCCCATGACACTATCCAAAAAGGAGGGAGTTTCTCCTGGAGTCTCTGGCAATAATTCCCTAAATTAAATTGATTTTTCACTTCATGGCTGTTTGTAGGATATTTGCTGTGCTGATAAGTTTCCTGCCCCATTTGTCTAAAATACAGTTACTAAGCTTCGAGTAACATTCTGTGAAGCGCTTTGAGATGTTTCAATGATGTGATAAGGTGCTACATCAAATTCAAACATTATAAGATATACTTTGTAACTACAGTATCAACTAGTATCAAACTCTAAACTCTATAGGGTTGAAAAGAATTTTACAGATCCTATTTAAGCTTTATGCTAGCCCAATATTAAATACTATTTACTATAATTCTTGTACTAAAACATATATAGTAGTTTACTGATATGCAGATAAGTCCTCAGTGGTTAGAGCACTCATCTCGCAAGCGAGTGTTCGATTCCCTGCGGGTGAAATGTTGGGCAAGTTTCCTTACTCCACACGCCCCTGTTTACCTAGTAGTAAGTTAGTCGATCGGCGGATCACTTTTCCGGGGGTAATTCTTTCAAAAAAAATCCTTTCATTTAATATAGCACTTTTCACTTCTTCTCGATGTCTCAAAGCGCTTCATAGAATAGACTTTAAAGTGAATTGACTGTATATTTGTGGGTGAAATGCGGCAGCCAATTGCGCACAGCAATTTATTATTGTTGTTTTTCTTGAGGGATTATTATCAGGTGGATTAAAATTGGTCATTTCAATCCACGACTGTTTGTGGGACACTGATGTATGCAATTAGCTGCCACGTTTCACCATAGGCATGGTCGAAGAGGAAGGTCATCAGGCGCGACTTGAAAATGAGCAAGGAAGGGGCAAGGCAGATGGATTAAGGGAAAGTATTTGAGAGTTTCTGGGAGTAGTGGCTGAAAACATGGCCACCGATGGTGGAACGGAGGGCACAAAGCTCATGCAGGAGGCTGGAGCCAGTCGAGCAGAGGCAAGAGGTGATGGGTTGGGGAGTAAGCAGGTCGGAGAGGTAAGGAGATCCCAGGGCATGGATGGATTTGAAGATTAGTGTGTGGATCTTGAAGTCGATCCGTTCAGTGATTGAGAGCCAGTGGAGACTGGCTAGAACTGGTGTGATGGTGGTAAGGAGTTTAGTGCGGTTGAGTATGCAGAAGGTGGAGTTTTGGATTAAAGAGAAGAGCTTCACAGGAACCAAGCAGTATGGCTTTCGTCTTGTTAAAATTTAGCTGTAGGAAGTGCAACAGAAGCAAAGTAAGTAAAGGGGAAGTAATGCAAAATTACATATGTATAACTTCTTTCACATCGGGACATCAGGTGGGGGACGTGGAGCGGGCTGGAGCCTGCTGAGTGAGGGTAGCGGTCAGGTTTATAAGGGGTTAGTAGGTCGGAGAAGTAGGAGGGGCAAGGCCGTGGAGGGCCTTGAAGGTGAGGACGAGGATTTTGAACTTGATCCTCTAAGGGATGGGAAGCCAATGGAGCCGGGCAAGGGTGGGTGTGATGGGGTCACAGAGCCTGATGAGGGAGATGACTCGAGCTGCGGAGTTCTGGATGATCTGCTTGTGGAGGGAAGAGTTGGGAAGGCTGACAAGCAAGAAGTTGGCATAGTCGAGCCTAGATGTAATGAAGGGTTTCAGTGGCCTGTGGGATGAGGCAGTGGTGGAGTCGGGCAATGTTGCAGAGGTGGGGGAAGGCAGAGTGGGTCATGGCACAGATGTGGGGGTGAATGGACAATTGACAGTCGAACAACACGTCTCAGTTCCTGACTGGCTTGGTGAGGTGGAGTGTGCATCCGTGGATGCTGATGCTGCCAGTGAAGCGCTAGCGTGAGCCGATCAGGAGGGCCTCAGTCTTGTTGATGTTCGTCTGTAGAAAGTTAGCTCTCATCCAGGACTTGATGTCTGACAGACAGTCTGTCAGGACAGCAGTGGTTCTGGAGCCAAGGGTGGAGGCAGAGAGACAGAGTTGGGTGTCATCCGTGTACATGTGTAAGTTCACCCCATGTCTGCAGGTGATATCACCAAGAGAGAGCGTGTACAGGTTGAAGAGGATAGGACCACGGACGTTACCCCGAGGAACACCGCACAAGATGGGGGTTGGAGGAGAAGCTGTTTGTGGAGACAAAGTGGAGCCGGTGTGAGAGATAGGATTTGAACAATTCAAGAACAGAACCTTGAAGGTTGAGGTGAAAGGAGAGGAGTATTGAGCAAAAATTTTGAATAATACTGGTGGTATGAATTTCAAAAAAATATTGATAAGCAGAGATAAGCAGCTGCCACACAAGCTCTGCACTTTCAACTGATGAAACCATCGCTCAATAGATAAGGCTGTGTGTGTGATGACTGACCAGACAGCTTTGCTTGTTGGCAGCACTTGGCGAGGCAAACTGATGATTGGGACCAAAGATTCTTTCAATTTGTCTCCTGTTAGCCTTCAAGCCAAAGCCCTAGCAAGTAGGATTACCCTAGCTGGACTAGCAGTTAGAAGCTGGCTTGGCAATCCTCTCAATGGAGAATTGTGTAGTTTTAGCTGGTTATGTGTTTTTAGATGGTTAAACTCCCAACGCACACTCTGTCCTCAAGCTTTAGATTTTAACAAACTGCGTCTAATATTTGGTGGAACTAAGTAAGCAGGATGCACCCATCGGGAGGGGGGGGGTTGTGTATTTAGTTGCAGATGCGGGAATTTCCATATGTAGGTGGCATATGTGAAAGTCTAACTGGTTTGGATACTCTTAAGCATGGTGATGGGTTTCTGAATGTATCGCACACCTGGCTGATCAGTGATCACAAAAGAGAAGTGAGGTTCACAACGATGAGGAAGAGCTGAATTTTCTTAGAAAGCCAGTTCCGTGCAAAGCATTTCAATTTAATTAAGCTTGTTGTAGCTTTCAAAATTCCTTCTGTAGATTTGTTGTGAATGAAAATGAATACTTCACATTGATTTTGATGGGTCTGCCCTCTGCTCAGCCTTCCTATCAATGATCTTGAATAGTGAAAAGTAAAGAATTGTGCAACACCCTCAGTATGTTTATCAGGATGAACCAGATAATCTGTAATGCAACACGTGTTGTGTATTTTACCATGACCTGAAAAACACTCTGATTTGAAAAAAAAACTTGGCTCAATCTGCAAACTGAAACTAAGAATTTTGCAGGGTTCTGTAAAAATTCTTATGTGTACAAAAATAAAGAAATATTTAAAATTGATCGTTACATATAGAGAGCCAATTATTTTCATCGGATGCAAATTCTGCAGTTTGGGAACAGAGAACTGAATGTACTTCGGAGGGTGGTGTTCTTTGTTGGAGCTTAACTTTGAATCTATAATAGCTTTAATGCAAACTATTTTTTTTAACAAAAATTAGCGGTCCCAATATTTTTAAATTTTCTCCCCATTGGCATACGCCTCTCTGCACCTAGACCCCAGCCTCCTCGTGCTGAGATGCAGTCCCATGGGCGCTGTTCACCTACTGATGTAATTGCTCAAGTGATCATTGTTCAGGTGTGAGCCTTGGCAGTGAGTGGGATGTCTTCCCACTCAACTACTATTTTATTTATATATATATATATATACCAGAAGAGGTTTACCAGTAGAGGTTGCTCTAGAGGGACCAGGAGCAGAACTCTGGCTACTTTTTCCCCTCCTCAACCCTGGAAGGCCAGGCCAAGTTTAGTCTTCTCACGAAGCTATAGCTGAGACCAGCAAACTCAGCAAAGAGCACGATTCAAACCGGTGAGATTATGGCCCATAAACTGGAGCTCTATCCATCGCACAATTGGAGCTATCTTTTATTTGTTAGTTATCAAACACAGATAAACTGTTTCCATATTATTTCAGCACTTTAGGATGTCCGTCTGACGTGAAGGGTGCTATAAAAATGCAATTTGTTGTTGTTTCAGCTATGTTGAGTTAAGTTTTTCTGTAACCAATGCAAAGGTCAAAGTTTGATTAAAATCCTGGTTGGTTGCTGCGAGCTCTAGACATTTATTTTTTGGCATGTTACAGAAAGAAGAATTATTGTGCTTAGAACTGTGAATAACTGAATTGGAAGTTCTTGATGGTAACATTGGAGAAGATAAAAGATTAGTTAAAGAGAAGCAACATTTTTGATTTTGTGAGCGGGAAGGGGCCCCTCACTTACTCGTGCACCAGCAAACTTAAGCAAGTTTCCTACCTCTGTTTACTTAGCAGTAATTAAGTAGGAACATGGTTATTAGTGGATTAGCGGATCGCTTTCCAGGAGTAATAATCACTTTTTTTAAAAAAATAATAATTTGGTTCAATGAGTTTAGATTTCCATTCTCAATGTAGAAACACTGAATTTTGAAAGGAACGTTCCAATTTCCATAATGCTACTACCTCATAGTCGCAGTCAGGATGTTATTCCCGGTTACAATACTTGAGTAACCTTCATGCAGTGTTTAGTGCCGGCAGTAGTTATTCAGCTGGACTTAAACCAAAACAACAACGGATTGTTGTTTTCACAGTAACTAAAGTAATTATTGGATCAAGAAACATAATCTGCTGGTTTGTGTATGTTCTTCTCAAGCAGATCTAATTTAGCTTTATTTATTTTTTCAAGATCGCAATCATTCATCTAACAATAGTTTTCTTTGCTCCTTTTTCATATAGTGACCCTGATTCATAGGAACCATGAAGCGGCTGTATCTCGTCGAACCTGTTATTGCTCTTACCGCCTTGGCTTCTCTACCAACATATCCGTTAATTCAACAGTATATTTATCGCAGGACATGGGAGGAGCAGACTAACAGCAGCTACATTGATCATGGAAATGTCACCTTCTGCAATCAGAATCGCAGTGATCCTGCCTTTGTGAAACAAGAAGTCAGTGTTTTCAAATTATGCATCACAAAAATAAATGTTTCATGTGCAGTTGTCAACCACATTTTTACTGTGTAGAGCTTTGAAACATTTTCCTACGTTAAAGGCGCTTCAACATGTGGAAGTTATTGCACAGTCAAATATATATTATGAATCATGTATTATACAATAATGTTTTTAAAAAAAACGTTTTAAGACTAAAGCGCTATGAATATAATCTTGTGAATCATCCTAATTTAGAAAGTTTTCTTTAAATTATATATTTATTTGTAAATATAGTATTTGGTACAAAAAACAACTTAAAATACAACATCTTTTGTTACATTTTTCCCATGTATCTTATATTATTATATTATATAATATATATATTATGTAATAATAATATTACTATTATATATCCTGATACAAAACATTCCATTCTTTACATTACATTCACTTTTTTGGGGCCGCTCTTCTATACGGTGAGCGTCCCCTGATGTTTGTCTGTGCGCGGTTGGGACCCTAGCGCGTTGGGTTTAGTACTGCTGTCAGCGTGTCCAGCGTAGGAGGGCTCCGGTTGGGGCTCAGGCCCCATCTGTCCGTTGCCGCGGCTGTGCCAAGCTTCAGCGTGTCCCAAAGCGCGTAGTCCCTGATGGTGGAGTGTGCTAGCCTGCAGCAGGCCTTCGCTGATGGCTGAGGAGGTGTTCCACCATCTCCTCACCTCCACAGCCACCCTGAAGGCAATATATGGTAGCAGCGAGGCCCCTGCAGTGCAAGAAGGACCTGATGTAGAGCGCTTTGTTTATCGTCAGCCAGGCCGTGTCCTGATGTTTGTTGGACAAGGCCGGTGACGAGGCATTCTGTCAGACATGTCTGACAGTCTCCCTGGGGTTCTCCCTCTATCAGGTCTATCCCCTCGCCCTCTCTGACGGTCCTCACTTACTCTCATGGACCACTGGGTGATTGCCCGCGGGTCTGTGATGTTCCAAGATGTGAATCTCTCGATGTGCGAGAGGCGTTTGGCACATTCCAGCTGCGGGGCGTTCCATTCCGAGGCAATTCTGCCAGACTCGTCCTTCTGAGCATCGGGTACAGGTAGAAGCCCAACACTTAGTGGCATTTGGTGCCGGCGTAGCAGGGCTCCAGCAGCCACAGCTTCAGGCAGCTACACACAAAGGTGGCAATGAGGATCAGGCCTACGTCTGGGACACTCTTGCCTCCCTTGTCCGGGATCTTCAGGAGTGCAGTCCTGCGGACGCACTCCACCTTGGATCCCCAGACAAAGTGGAAGATTACTCGGGTGACCTTTGCGGTGCTGGATGGTATGGGCCAGATTTGTGTCATGTGCAGCAGCAGCACCGAGGACTTTGATTGGATACCCATGCGGTCACGTCATACCAAAGTTTAAGACCTGGCTTTTCTGGCGGTTTACTTTGGCGCCCGAAGCCCTTTCAAAGTGATCACTGAGGCCTAGCGGGTTCGCGACCAAGTGCTGAGCAAGAGACAGTGATATCATCCACACATAGGGAGACCTTGGCTTGTGTGCCGTGGCTGCCCGGGATGGTGATACCTTTAATGCTCTCGTCCCTCTTAATGGCCTGAGCAAATGGCTCTATGCAGCAGACAAATAGAGCCGGGGACAACCCTGCCTGACTCCAGACCTGATGGGGAATGCCTGAGTCTCAAATCCATTCACTGTGACTGTGATACAATCGTCTCTGTAGAGCAACTGGATCCAGTTCAACATTCCCTCCCCAAAGCCCATTTGGAGAGCACCTCAAAACATGTAGTCCTGCGACACTCTGTTGAAGGCTTTCTTAGAAAGTTAATAGAAACTTCGCAAAGTAAAGCAAAAGCCCTTTAACACAGAGAGCTACCTAACGTATAGAAATATTACACTCCACCATTACTTTGTAATGCATCAGAAATACTAAGAAATTGAGTCTCCTGACCAAAATTAATTTGACTTGCTTTTAAAGATTAATATAGTTGTCCATTATTAAACAAATAGACAACTGATTATAGTTGTAATCATTTTGATTTAAGTGCTAACTTGACTTTTTTTATTTGTTTTTTTAGGAGGTTCAGAAAATGACTTCCCACTTTTTTATGTGCATGGAGTTGGCTGTGTTTCTCCCCGGTTTCATTGTTACCTTTATATTGGGCTCCTACAGTGACCGTCATGGACGTAAACTGTCTCTCCTCCTTCCCTCAATTGGGAGCCTGTTTAATAGCCTGGCTTTTTTAGCAGCATCTTACTTTTCTTGGCCAATTAATTTGCTGTTTATACCAGTGATCCTTACTTCATGTTTTGGTGGCTTCACAACTTTGATTGGGGGAATTTTTGCATATGTAGCAGATGTCTGCACTGGCAAGCAAAGAAATATGCGCATGGCATTGGTGGACATGATCATTGGAGTGATGGGTGGGGTTGGGGTGCTGTCAAGTGGCTATTTCTTAAATGCTGTGGGTTTTAACTGGCCATTTTTGACCATCACATTGATTAATTTTGTCAATATCATGTACATCGTGTTTTTCCTTGAAGAAACTGTGAATAAATCAGAAAACGAATCAAATGGAGTATCTGGTTTTGACCGCCTCAGAGAAATATTCTCTGGGATCTCTGTTCTTTACACTAGTTCTGATGTGAGGAAACGAATACAAATTAGTCTGTTGCTTTTTATTTTTTCGATGTACATACTTGCTAATTTTGGTAGTGCATCACTTTTTATTCTTTATGAACTGAATGCTCCCCTTTGCTGGAATGAAATTCTTATTGGTTATGGCTCTGGCGCTGGACTGCTTGTGTTCCTGACTAGCTTTGTGGGAGTTGCTCTGTTTTCCTGTTGTCTCAATGACGTTTATATAGTGCTGATCGGCATATTTTCCTTCGTTGGAGCAATGATCATGACCATCTTTGCCACTACTACTCCACTCATGTTTCTAGGTATGTACACCAAATTTTATTCGTACCATATTTATTCAATTAAGTCTGACCGGAACTTGAGAATTTAGATTTATCGAAAGTCACGCGTGAGAATGAGAAACAGCACAGAAGGTTGCCATTTTAGCATCATGTTGTTTTGGATATAAAATTGGTTTACTCAAACCACAACTGTTTGTAAAAACACTGCTTTGCGAAATTGGCTTCCATGGTTTTGCTGCAAAATATAACCATCTTAAAACGCAATCAAAAGCCACTTCCTTTCTGCACCAGATCTTTTTAATGCAAGTCATTGAGTTGTCATTTACAACTTCTGACTAACTGGTTATGATAACATGAATACAGCTGTTATAAAGGCCTAGAAATCTTGTTGTGTGAAAATTAGCTAATGCGTTTGCTGTAAATATACAGTTACTGCATTTTACAGTATATCCTGTGACGCACTTTGGGACATCCTCCGGATGTGGAAGGCACTATATAAAATGCAAGGATTATTATTATTATATTGAGGATAAATTTTGATTACTTACTGCAGATTTTAGTTTGGTTTTTTATTAAAAAGCTAGTATTTTCATTTTTTTAAAACCTTTTTTAAATTAAAAATTTGGAGTTCTGTAGAGTATTAGTTAGAGCACTTGCTTTGCAAGCGAGAGTACCCAGGTTTGCTTCCTGGGCAGGGCGAAATGTTCGGCAAGTTTTCTTACTCTACACGCCTCTGTTTACCTAGCAGTAAGTAGGAACCCAGTTGCTAGTTGGTTAGCAGATCACTTTTCTGGGGGTAATAATCCTTTCAAAAATAAATAATCATAAAAAATAATATGGTAAAAAATAAATAAAAATAATGATATTTAATCCACTACTATTTGTGGGACACTGCTGCGTGCAATTGGTTGCCACGTTTTGCCCACAAATATACAGTCAATTCACTTTCCAATATATTCTGTGAAGCGCTTTGAGACATCTCAAAGACCCGTTAAGGCGCTATATCAAATGCAAGGATTATTATTATTAGTAGTAGTAGTAATATGCCTCACCTGCAAATAGCAATGAGATGAATGATCAATGAATCTGCATTTCTTTAAATTACATACACAGTCTATTCTGTGAAGCGCGTTGAGACGTCAAGAAGACGTGAAAAGCGCTATATCAAATGCGAGGAATATTATTATTATTAGAATACATTAGAATATATGGCACAGAAACAGGTTATTCGGCCCAACTTGTCTATGTCGGTGTTTGTGCTCCACATGAGCCTCCTCCTGCCCTTCCTCAACTAAGCCTTCAAGCATAACCTTCTATTCCTTTCTTCCTCATGTACCTATCTGGCTTTCCCTTAAATATATCTATGCTATTTGCCTCAATAACTCCTTGTGGTAGCATATTCCACATTCCCACCACTCTCTGGGTGAAGAAATTTCTTCTGACTTCCCTATTTGGTCTATTTGTGACAATTTTATATTGATGGCCCCTGGTTTTGGTCTCCCCACAAGTAGAAACATCTTCCCTATGTCTACTCTATCAAAACCTTTCATTTTTTTTAAGACCTCTATCAGGTCATCCCTTACCCTCTTTTCAAGAGAAAAGAGTCCAAGTATGTTCAGGCTGTCCTGATAGATATAACCTCTCAGTTCTGGGATCATCCTCGTGAATCTCCTTTGCACCCTCTCCAGTGCCTCTACATCCCTTTTATAATACGGGGACCAGAACTGCACACAGTATTCTAAGTGGGATCTAACAAAAGTTCTATAGCAGTTTAGCATAACTTCCCTATTTTCATTTCTATCCCTCTAGAAATGAACCCCAATGCCTGGTTTGCTTTTTATCGTCTTATTATCATGACCCAACTGTGCAGCGCCTTGGGACGTCCTCCTGACGTGAAAGGCGCTTTATAAATGGAATCTTGTTGTTGTTGTTGTTGTTATTAACCTGCGTTGCTATTTTTAGTGAATTGTGTATGTGTACCCTTAGGTCCCTTTGCTCCTCTACCCCATTTAGGTTTTTATTTTCCAGGATGTATTTTCCTTCCTTATTCCTTCTATCAAAATGTACCACCTCACGCTTTTCTACATTGAAATGCATTTGCCATTTGCCCACTCAGCAAGTTTATTAATGTCTTGCTGTAATTTGTTGCAGTCCTCCTCTGTATTAACTACTCCCCCCAATTTGGTGTAATCCGCAAATTTTTAAATTGTACTGCTGATTCCCGAATCCAAATCATTAATGTATATTGTGAACAACAGTGGTCCCAATACCAATCCTTGTGGAACACCACTGTCCACTCCCTGCCAGTCTGAGTAGCTACACTTCACCCCTACTCTCTGTTTTCTGTTTCGCAGACAGTTTGCTATCCATTCTGCTATTTTTCCTCTGACTCCACCCGCTCGTACATTATTCATTAATCTATTATGTAGTGCCTTATCAAACACCTTTTGAAAATCTAAGTATATTACATCTACCGCATTACCCTTAATGATGGAGGAATATGGGCCACAGCACAATTTCCTATATGTGATATTTAACACTCCACCCAGTGTTACATCAGTTTAATACCTCATCTGAAGGACCACACCCTCAACAATACCACGCTCAGTAGTAATGGCATGTCACACCTGATTATCAACTCAAATCCTGATGTGAAGCTCAAACTGACAACCTTTTAATCTAGTGTCACCAACAAAGCCAAACTGATACAAAGAGACAGAGAGCCTTTTGTGTTTCTTCCAACAATTCACTCACCCGATCTTTAATTTAAATGCGGTAGTTTTAGCTGATTAAAAATGTCTAGTGTCATTTGCAATAAAGCCTATATATTTAATGAGAGCATGAGGTGTTTTATCATCACTCTGAATCAGTGGAAGTTGTTGCTTTATTTAAGTGTAAAAAGATATAGTTTATTGTGTTTATTACAGATAAGACTTTCACTAGCAGTTACAGCTATAAAAAACATTAATGAGATAACCTTTGGTAACAGTTTGAGATGATTTACAGTCTTCTGGCAGTGGAACAAAACTACTCATCAAGTCAAATGGCCGATAGTTTATGTAGTCTTAAGATGTGTCAAACAGATTGGTGTTCAACTCTTTTTTGTTGGTTCTTAGGTCTTATTAAGCTTAGCCATGTGGTGGTGACGTGTGCTGTAATTAATTTTAAGTATTGATTCCTTGCTCCCACTTTCAGAATAATACTCCCAATGATCCTCAACAAAATATCTTTAATATTTTTACCAACTCCACAAACATTAGAACTGTATCTGAGAACTGCAGAATAGCAGGATGGCAAATGTGACGTGAGCCTGGGAGTTTTAGATGAGCTAGTGGGGAAAAATGCTTGAAAGCATTACTATATTTGGGATCTTATCAATTCTCATCTTAAAAAGTACAGATGTTGTAAGGAGTAGTCAACATGGATGAAGACATAGTAGTCACACCTCACAAATTTAGTGGAATTATTTGAGAAAGAGAGAAATTTACTTGTAATTTTTAATTTTTGACACGATGGGCCGAATGGGCTTCTGTAGTATAAATACATTTACAAAAAATAATACATTTGATTAAGCTCCATAGGTGGAAAACAAATTGAATGAATGGTATACACATTACATGCAGAAAGTGACATCAGTGGCGATCTGACGACAGGAATTCAGGTATTTTTAACACAGGAAGCCGGCAAATCAGCCCCAGAATGTGGGTGGACTGTGCTTTGGTTAGTGCAGGTCCATAGGACTCCAGCACTAAAAGCGAGACTAAACTGCGGGGGTAGCTTAAAACACGTTGCATTGTATTGTACTGCAACTTAATTTAATGTTTTTGCACAATAAGTTAAAATAATGAATTTGGCTGAAGACATTATTGAAAAAGGAAGGTCTTGAGGTAGGCCTTTGAAGAAGCAAGGGAGGGGCGAGGCTGAAGGCCAGACTGCTGATAGTGGAGCAGGACGATGGGGGATGTGGAGCAGGGAGGGATCGGACAGGTTGGTGACGTTTTAATGGGTCCCAGAGGTAGAGCAAGATCATGGAGGGCCTTAAAGATGACAGTAATCTTGAACTCAATTCTCCGGGGAATGGGCAGCGTTAGGGTTAGGATGGGGTTGATCAGCTGATGAAGATTCGTGTGGGAGAGTACCTGAACTGCAGAGTTCTGGATAATCATTTTTTTGTGGAGGGAAGAGTTGGGAAGTACGGCAAGCAGGGAATTAGCGTAGTCAAGCCTGGACGTAATGAATGTATGGATAATAATAATGATAATACAACAATAATAATCCTTGCATTTGCTATAGTCCCTTATCACGTTGACACCTTAAAGCGCTTCACGGTATATATTGTAAAGTGAAGTGGATTGACTATATTTTGTGAACGAGATGCGGCAGCCAGTTGGGCACATGTTTGCCCCCCGAACATTTGCAGTTTTTTTTGAGGGATTAGTACCCCCGGAAAGCAATCCTCCAATCCACTAACAGCCGAGTTTCTACTTACCACTAGCTAAACAGGCATGTGGAATAAGGATTATTATTGTTTTTAATAGTAATGAGTTGACTAATCATTTTGAGCTCTTTGCTTTTCAGTCAGACTGGTTAGCCTGTTTGCCATGATGCCACTCCCTGTCATTCGATCAATGCTATCCAAGATTGCTTTACCCAGTGAACAAGGTTAGTTGCTTTTGTGATAAGAGAACAAAAATCCTTGTGTGTCTTGTATTAGGTGTTGTTTGTAACAGGGTGCCGAGTAAAGTTTCCACTTCACAGAAATTAAATAAAAGCAAATGGAATTCTGGAATTTATTATAAGAGCATCTTTCACATAGGAAGGACATATTTAAGGCTTCACACAACTGACTGGGTGCCCAAGGGCATCATTACAGTCCGACCCTATCTTTGACATGTTTTTTTTTCAAATTGAAAATTGGGATGCAGATCCAAGGTTCTAAGTATATAATACATCAACAATGTCCAGGTCAGTGCCTTGGGATGACCTCCCGACGTGAAAGGTGCTGTACCATTGTAATTTTGTTGTTATGAGATCAAATCCTAGTGTGGGGCTTGAGCTCAAAACTCTGCAGCTCAGTAAGAGTGCTATCAACTGATTCAGTCATATGTGCATATCTACCATTTCATATTCTTAAACCTCCTCTGCTTTGCACCATCTTTGCCTGTCTTCAGATCACGCCTGAAGACCTTCCTCTTGGACCATGCCCACAGTAACCTCCCATTTATTCCTGGCTCGGTGACACTGATACTGTTATGCCATTCACTCGCTCACGTCTTAGCTTGGTAATACCAGCAAATTTTATAAAACATGAAATCCTCTCTATGTTTGCCCCCACTCCCCCAGCAATATAAGCAGAATCAGATTTATTGGGTTGGTTCCATTTTGAGGCTATTAGAAGGATAAATTACACTGCTTTCCCATTTAGGAGAGTCAAGTACTTTTATGCACACTGCCCTGAGCAGATTTTCCCAAGGTTCAGGGAAGATAAACTGTTTTAAAAAATATTAATAGTAATAATCTTTGCATTTGGGACTTCGCTTTCATATCTAAAAATGCTTTAAAGGATTTATTATAATTTAAAATGACTTCTTTAAAAAAAACTGTAAATGAGCAGTTTTTAATGATGTATTGTGGAATCTACCCATAATATACCTAAGAGGAGAAGGGGCATTCACAACATCTAGTCGAAGAAGACACGGTTTTGCTCTGATTCAGATCACAAACTATCTGGAACGATAATGACTTGTTTCATTCACATACTAAGAGTTCCTTTCATGCACAGATGACAGCAGATTAATTCCAGTTTGTACAGATTCTCTTCTAAAGTTGAGGCAAATTCAGGTCAGAAGATGGAATTGGGAACAGCATAAATAACTCTATTGTTTATCTTCAGGTTTACTTTGGTTCCAGGAAATAAAGAATTTGTTGCTCCGGTATGAGAAATCAATTTGATTTGGGTCAGCACTAACCATAATAGTTGTAATTGAGTTTATCCATCTCTCACCACCCACAAGAGTAGAAGTTTAACACTGCTGAAATGTTAAGCAGCTTTGACAGCCACACACAGAGGATTACTTGATTCAGCAAAGCCAGAAAATCTCATTGCATCCAAAAAAAGGCTGGTGAAGCATGAAGGGAGCATATGTTGCTGATAATTATACTGTGGAACAAAACTATCAATCCATTCCTGTAAGCAGGAAAGAGAAGCAATAATGAACAGTGGATCAGAATAAATGCACACCAAACTAAGTTTGTTCGTAGTTGTGAAAATACTTCTAATAAAGCCGAGTGCTTTTTAGAAACTTAAACAAGAAATTACATTTGTGTAGTGCTTTTCATGTCCCAATGTGCTGGACAGTCAAGGATTTGGAGCCAAGCTGGAGGTTGGGATCAGGAGGGTTGGAGCGCTTAACAGTGACATAGTCCGATGAGGGGGGAGGTGACCATAGGCACAGTCGAAGGGGAAGGTCTTCAAGCGCGACCTGAAAATGGGGAGAGAGGGGGCAAGGCAAAGGGATTGAAGGAGAGAGTTCCACAGCTTTGGGGCATAGTGGCTGAAAGCACAAACGCCGATGGTGGGGCGGAGGGTCCAGGTGACAAGGAGGAGGCCGGAGCCAGTCGAACGGAGGCAGGATTTTCACATAATTTCGGGCAGAATGCTCGAATGCTCAGGGTGCAAGAGATTTTTAGCTGGACTGGCTCTCCGGGCTCTGGAATATCCGAGTTATATTTTAAATTTGCAATTTTACACAGGCTGTAAATGCAGCAAAAATAAATTTGTTTAAAAAGTTTTACAGTAAATAAACTCATTGTGTTTTCCCTCCAGTTATTACACCAAATTTGTGAGTAGGACAAATTTGATTCATTATTATCTTCTTACCATCAGTTGTGTTGTACAATTTAATTTCATAACTTCCAATCGTACTTAATGTCATTGCCAGTCAATCAGTAATTTACCTGACCGGATTTAGGATCTACTATTGCTATTTGTCGCTTAGATAAGGATTCTTTGAAATCGGAATGTCTGTTGGCGACTCTTGCCTTTAAACCGCTGTAGTGCTGGTTCAACTTTATAGAATGTGATATAATCAAGCATTGATGGATGGTGCGTTTATACCTCAGGGTGTAGAATTATGTTTAAGTCACTATGTTAAGAAGACAAGAAGTCTCCTCAAAGCAGCCATTTAAACATAGCTCTGAAACATAGAAACAAAGAAACAGTGGTAGGCTATTCAGCCCCTTGAGCCTGATCTGCCATTTTATAAGTTCATGGCTGATCTGTACCTCAAGCCCAGTTACTGCCCCTTGAAACCATTAAACATTTGAAAAGTGCCATGGGGTCTTTTTAACATCCACCTGAAAGATGTAGATGAGTTCTCGATTTAATATCTCATTCAAAGATACCATCCCTAACAACGCAGCACTTCCCACAATACTGCATTCTTCAAGGCCGGTCTCAAAACCTTTCTCTTTGACCGTGCCTTCAGCTCCCCTCTCGACTCTCTTCCCCCTCCTCGCTCCCTCCCTTCCCTCCCCTCACCCTGACCATTTCCCCCCTCCTCGCTCCCTCCCTTCCCTCCCTTCACCCTGACCATTTCCCCCCTGCTCGGGTCATGACCCAACTGTGCAGCGCCTTGGGACGTCCTCCTGACGTGAAAGGCGCTTTATAAATGGAATCTTGTTGTTGTTGTTGCATTGGAGGCTTAGTCTATGCTGTGATCTCAAATCCCAACATGGCGCACAAACTTACAGCCTTCTGACTTGGAGACAAAGTGCCATGTACTCTTGTCACTGAGTGTTCCATTTTGAAGTTGAAGTGTGAGCGAGATTTTTTGGTACTTGAAGAAACTAAAAATCATTTGTTTTTCTTGCAGGTGTTCTCTTTGCCTGTGTAGCCTGCCTGGAAAATTTAAGTGGGACCCTTTCCTCTGTAATTTTCAATAGCATTTATGCTGCTACTGTTTCACATTTTGCAAGCCTTAGCTTTCTGATATCGGCATGTTTATGCATTATTCCAATATCTGTTTTGTGGTAAGTCGATGTATTTTAATGCTCTCTAAATTTAAATTCTTTGGACTATGACATTAGTTTGTTTCATGCATTTATTTTATACATTTTGCACATTGTTCAGAGTTTGATCAGATTTACTCTGTGTACCAGAACCTTGTGAAAAGAAGGCTCCAGCCTTAGCCCCCTGTTTTCCATCGTTACACTCTCCCTGTTGGTGATGTCAACCATAAACATGGGGTCACTTTCACATGTATGTGGATGATGCCCGTAACTGCTCCTCCTCTTCCAGCAGTGACTACAGGTCCACCGATGTTCAGGCAGTTTGCTTCTCAGAATTCAAGGCCTGGGTGAACACAAACTTTTTGCAGTTGAATGTTGACAAGATGGAAGCCATACTCCCTGACTCCCATCAATGTTTTCTTTCCTGCGGCGCTGACCTCCCCAACTTACCCTTAAGATTTACTGAACCTGTGTGTAATCTAGGCATCAGATTCCATCCCTTGCCGTCCTTACTAATCCCTGACCAGGACCACTTTCCTCCGCCACATTGATCTCCTCCGACCGAACCTTACCCCAAACGCAGCCGGAACCCTAATCCATGCTTTTGTCAACTTCCACCTCGACTATTCCAATGCCCTCCTTGTTGGTCTCCCTAACTCCACTATCCACAAAATCCAACTAATTTTTAATTGCCTGATTCAAGACCAGTCTCAAGATCCTCCTCTTAACCATGCCTTCGGCCACCCTTCTGCCCTCCCTTCCCTCCTCCCCTCCTCATCCCAACACCTTACTTAGGTCCAAATCCCTGACTGTCCAGCGCCTTGGGATGTCCTCTTGATGTGAAAGGTGCTATACAAATATAATTTGCTGTTTGCTTCCTGTATACTCGCCCACACTCCGTACCCCCATCACACCAGTTCTAGCCAGGCTATAATGGCTCCCTATCACAGAACAAATTGTCTTCAAGATCCTCACACTTGTCTACAAATCCCTTCATGACCTGGCATCTCCCTACTTCTCCAACCTGCTTACTCCCCATTCACTTCCCACTTGGCTAGCTCCACTTGGCTGGCTCTGGCCTCCTGCTTGTTCCTCATCCCCTCTTCTCCATCATCGGCAAATATGCTTTCAGCCAATACCCCACCAAAACTTTAAAACTCTCTCTAAATCCCGCAGCCTTGCCCCCTACTTCCCCATTTTCAGATCACACCTGAAACCCTTCCTCTTTGACCTGCCTACAAGTCACTTCCTTCCTTCTCCCAGCTCAGCCACGGTTACGTACTCTGAGATGCTACCCCGTGTGAAGGACGCTATATAAATGCAAGTTGTTGTGATTGTGGAACTGAAATATTGGACAATATGAACTGGGGAGGATGGAAGTTTGGATGAGTCCAATAAGTTAGTGCACTGCTCCTTTACTTCAGAGACCTGGGTTCTGTGGGGTTGTTACTGTGGGGAGTGGGGGGACATAACAGTTAGAATGGTTCCACAGAGATGTGTTCGTGAATAAAAAATGTTCTCTAACTAAAGTCAATTATAACTCCCCAGCACTCTCTGACTAGGATCCGCTAACTCAGCACAAAGTAGGGAAAGAAACTGGGACCTACAAAGTCTATGTATCAGCTACTCACTGAATAACCTTGCTGAGGAGCCAAGTTTAAATTTTGACAGATTGTATACAGCAACAACAGATACTGGGGTCCAAGTAGTAGGGAAACTCTTTAGAAATTTTTTTCAGCCTTTAAGAGACCGTGAGTTTCTTTTTTTAAAAAAAAATCAGATTCTCCCCGAAAATGTGTCTTTGAATTAAAAGCATGTCACTAATCCATTTAGCCTAATTTGCATCATTTTTTTGAATGGGATACCTTAATAAAAGATCTTGCCGGAGTTCATGTCAGTCCACTGGAATCCCAGAAGTAAATCCATTATATGATCCAATGGGTTGACCTAACCTGCTTTCCTTCCCATTCCTCCTTTGTACAACTTTGATTTTCTTATTAAGTCCTGTAGCTCATTGGTTAGAGCAGTTTGTGGGACACTGCTGTGCGCAATTGGATGCCGAGTTTCGTCCACAAAATGTATAGTCCAAATGTACATTCTGTGAAGCGCTTTGAGACATCTCAAAGACCCGACTTCAGCTCATCAGGACCTGTTTTGAAGCATTAACAGAGAGTTATTTTTTAATAGCCATTCAGTCTGGATTTAAGGGTTATATGGTCACTTATACACAAGCAAAATATAAATGATTGAAATCGGCTATTTTCAAAAGGACAATGTTAAAATCATTTGGTCTCGAAATCCCAATGCCACTTACAGTAAACTACAATTGACAATAGGGATAAGAAAACTTGAATTCCTGGTTCCAGTTCGAAGCATATTACACATTTTTGGGGAGGGAGAAGTGGCCAGAAACAACAATTTAAAACTCCGTCCCACAGTCCCCCCATCGTGCTCCTTCCCATGCCTCCTTCAAGACCCTCCTATTCAACTGTGTCCTCGGTCACTCTCCTTCCCCTACCCTCCCCACCCTCCTCCCCTCCTGATCCCAACCACCAGCTCGGGTGCAGATCTTTGACTGTCCAGCACCTTCGGACATCCTCCTGATGTGAAAGGCGCTAATCAAATGGAATTTTGTTGTTGTTGTTGTCGAGAAGAAGTGATAAGGCGCTATATAAAATAAAAGTATTGTTATTATTTCATTGTAAAGTGTAGTGACTGTATTGTAAAGGTGAACCATTAAGAAATACTCCAACAAGACCCCTTTGATGTTATTTGCTGACCTTTTTCTATGTTTTTCTCACTTTGTGTTCTTTCAGCTTCCTGCTGTGCTGGAAATCTGAAGACGAGGATGCTACCCATCTGATTGACGATGAGGTTTACACAAATGATGCTTTAAACAATTCTTTGATATGAAAATCTACAGAATTATGCCAGCTTGCTGTATGTTTTTTTTTACGTTGTGTGTTCTTTCAGCTTCCAGCTCTACTGGAGAATGAGGAGGAGATTGTGGGCAGCTAATTGATGATGAGGGTTGTATAGTGAATCCTTGATCGAATTTGCATCAGAGGGAGCTTACCTTGTGATATTTTCCTGCTTCACAACGCTCGTCATGTCAAATACATTGGCTTCTTCTTGTCATAAATAATATTTACATGTGCAACTAATGCATTTCAATGTGCACTAGAAATAGACAGAAAACAGAAAGCACTTATGAAGCACTGACAGTTAACCCTTTCATACCAGCCCAGTGTATGATACTTTCTGGTTTTATATAGTTGCTTTACCCTTAATAATTTGCACTATCAGAGCAATTGATGGTATCAGGTGATGCGATCTAGCTTTCAGTTGCCAGAATTTATTCCCTATAATACCTTTTTTTGTGCTGATTTTCATCCATTCAATCTGGATTATGATACAGCCTTGAAATTTAGCAGGCACTATGCTTAATGCAATTCATTAAACAAAATACATTTTCCATACCCAATGTGATGAACACGCTTTGAATATTTCAGTCAGTTTGTAAATTAATTGGCAACATCCATACATCCCTCATCACTTGCAACCAAACCAGTTGACCTTTGCTTAATTTTCCAATCTGGGCTACATGTACTCAGGCTGTAGTGCTCAATGTAGAGTCAGATCAAAAGACGACAAGAGGTTTGGATGAAAGATTTCTTTCAGCACATTTGATCTCATTCTTTCAGAATATCCAGTCCTGCTATTTGAGCATCAAACTGAAATCCAATGTCTTGACTTCAGGTAACATTCTGTTTCAACTGTCCTTTCTAGTAACCTGCTCCAGTTATTATTTACCCTCTATGTAGCGAAATCCTTCCTTGTGTGCCCTTTACTGTTTGAAAACCCAACCCTGTATCCTCTTTTTCAGTGTTTCATTGCATCACGTTCTCAATCCCACTAAAGATCCTACCAAAGTTCCCCTCTGAGATGTGTCTTTTCAAGAGTGAAGAGCTTAGCTTGTTTAATCATTTCTCATAGTTCATTCCTCCTCAGTAATCTCCTCCGCACTGTCCCTGGGTCCTGGTCTACTCACTTATGTCATAGACCAAATTATGCGCACTTTGATATTCAACAACAACAACTTGCCCCTCACGCAGGGTGGTGTCTCAGAGCACTTATGTACAAAGAATAGGAGGGGTCTCAGTGCAGATCTTCTCGCTGTTTTTCTGAAGGAGCTATCTAGTGCTGTTACAATACCACTAAACACACTGCTGTAATATGTCCAATAGTCCTTGAACATATTCAAGACTAAGATTGATAGATTTCTTACTGCAAAAGGTATTAAGGGATATGGGGATAAGGCAGGGTCAGGTTATTAGCTGGAGTTAGATTAGAAGATCAGCCATGATTGAATGGTGGGGCAGGCTCGAAGGGCCGAATGGCCTACTCCTGCTCCTACATGTTATGTTAGTCTGTGAGTTGGCTGGAAAATCCATTTTCTGACCTAATTTCGAAACCAATTTTAGTGAGTTAGGATATTATCCCCCTTCAGGATTTTTGTGTTTCTCTTTTATTTAAAAATATATTTGTGACATGTGAAATATTGTCAGTTTAACCTCCCTCCTCCACTCCCACCCCCACACACTATATTGGTACGTGCGCTTTGTATTCTTGAAATGTAATACATGTGCAGTGTTTGGGATTGTATTACCTTAAATACCATTCCTTATCTTTCCATTCTCTTAAGCTTATTGCTTCACATTTATGTGCATATCATCTTACTTGTTTCCTGTGTCTACTTGTGTAATGTTGATCTACTAACAGCTTTTATTGTGTGTTGTTTTATTAAATTAAAAATGAAATTAATCTTTAATGAGGTATAAGCAGAGTACATAGTAAGGAGCTGTGGTAAGTAAGACTAGCTCCTTATGATGAGTTCTTGCATATCGTCTTACGTTTTGCCTATGTCTACTTGTTGTGTAAAGATGATGTATTAACAGGGAGCTTTTATTGTTGACTACACCTTGTGTGTGAGGAATACCTTTGCACTTTAACTGCGGTACCTTAGTTTAACAAAGAGTATTTTCATCTCAAAACGTCTTTTAATAATAATAATAATAATCCTTGCATTTGATATAGCGCTTTTCACGTCTGGAGGACGTCCCAAAGCGCTTCACAAAATATACTGTAAAGTGAATTGAGTGTATACTTGTGGGCGAACGCGGCAGCCAATTGCGCACAGCAATGTCCCACAAACAGTCGTAGATTGAAAATGACCAATTTATTAATGTTTTTGTTTTTTTGGAGGGATTATTATTAGGCTCTGTGTGGAGTAAGGAAACTTGCCCAAGGTTTCGCCCTGTGCCTGGAATTGAACTCAGGTCTCTCACTTGCAAAGCGAGTGCTCTAACCACTGAGCTATAGGATTCCGCCTGTACATTTTACATTTCCTATTCAGAAATCTGTGGAAAAAACCCACTATAAATTAATCTCCAATACAGTTATCAAAAATTGCAATCACTGCAGATAATTTAGAGACATACTTTACCATATTCTGTACACCTAAAATATTTCCTGTTTGTGCATGTTACTTTTTTATGTTTTTGTAGTACAGGATAAATATAGATATATAAATTAGGCAAAAATATGTTGCATTTTTTAATCATAAATTGCAGTTTGCAATCTTTGTATTTGATGAAGATATGCCCTTTGTGCACACTTTACAAAATGATATCTTCAAATGATGTAAATACTTGTGATTTGAAAGTTATCTATGAATTAGGGATGTACTTTATTAATGTATGTTTAGAACTTGCAATAAACATGAAATACAAAAATAAAATGATTAATGAGCATTGATTAATCAAACACTTATTGCTAACAAACCATCATTGGATGGACAAATGTATCTTGTCTCATCGTCTGCTAATTTGTCATTCAGCATAATATGGTGGGACCTGAGCAAACTTTGCTTTGAAAAGATCATAAGAGAGGCCCATTTGACCCATTTGATCTCATCCTTCTAGAATACTCAGCCTCCCATCACAGCATCAAGCTGTTGTTTCAATGAGTCCAGCATCATGACTTCAACCACCCTTCCTGGTTACTTTGTTCCAGTTGTTAATTCAACAACAAAAACAACTTGCATTTATATAGATAGCGCCCTTCACTCAGGTAGCATCTTTGAGTGTTTAAGTGTGGCAGAGCTTCATGGTGAGCCAGGAATAGAGGGGAGGTGACCGTAGGCACAGTCGAAGATGTGCAAGGAAGGAGCAAGGCAGAGTGATTGACCCAGAGAGTTCCATAGTTTCAAGACGTAGTGGCTGAAAACATTCGCCAATGGGTAAAGCAATTCTGCTGTCTTGGTGCATCCAAAAGTATTGTTTTGAGTTTATTTTCTCAATCTCATTTAAAATTTAAAATATCTCTTTAAGGTCTGCACTGGGATGAGTAAAGCGTCCAAGCTAGGCTAACTGTTTCTCATGGCTCGTTCTTCTAACTGGAGATAATACTTTTAGTTTTCCTTTTCACTGTTTACTACAACAATAAAAACAATTTTATATTTATTTGTGACAGAAGGATGTCTCAAAGTAATGTAGGGCTTGAACAGCTCCCTTGTGGTTATCCAAACTGTATGCAGTACTCTAGGTGGTGTCCTAATCAAAACACTTTGTAGCTTGAGTGTGACTTCTGGAGGTCTGATATCAACTGGGTTGGCAATATAGTCCAGCATCCTCTTTGCCTTGTTTATTACTATCTCACACTGTTTTGACAATGGATCAAACTGTGAGCAATAAGTCAATTAACACCCAGAGATCTCTTTTCTCCCGGTGTCCTGGCCAACAATCCCCCAAATTTATCACTTGTTTCATGGATGTTTGTGTGCAATTCTGCTGCTACGATTGCTTACAAATTCACAGTGTCTCCATTTCATAGTAATTCCTGTGAAGGACTTTGAGACGTCCTTCCTTCGACGTGATAAGGCACTGTACAAAATGCAAGAATTATTCTTGTTATTTCAGCTTCCTTTTGGCAAGATCTGTCTCTTTCGAATGACTCACTTTTCTAATGATTATCCATGGGCAACAGTGTGCATGCATTTCAACAAACTTGTTTTAGTGTAAGCTGTACCATAATGTTATACTTTTTTACCGCTATCTCACTGTCTTATCTGTCAGGAATATCATTTTATACCTTTAACAATATTTCACAGTCCGTAAATGATCCATTAACTTACTCATTGTGAGTATGTTTGCGTATGGTTTTCATTGTTTAACATCTTCCTACTGTTTTTCCTGGGTTTGGTTCAAGTTAGGGTCCTCCAAACCTAAATTCTTTACTTATAGATCGATGTCAAACATTGGCGAATGCTTAACACATCAGTTTGCAGTAAGTGCTGACCACAATGCTAAGATGATAAAAGAAATTGCTGATACCTTGAAATCTAACTGTTCCATAACCTTTGCCTTTGAATCTAAAATCGCACAGAATTATGGAAACTTCTCAAATTCAACAACAATACATTACATTTGTATAGCGCCTTTCATGTCAGGAGGACGTCCCAAGGCTCTGGACAGTCAATTTACTCTTAATTTGTAAGCCGATTGGATCCAGTTATGAAACAGAACTGGTTTAAAAGAGTAAACAATGGCACCTCCGATAATGCAGCACTCCCCCAGCACTGGACTGGAGTTAAAGCCTAGACTATGAGGTATAGATTGAGTAAATTGGAATATGACTTTGGATTGAACCAAGAAAGGAGACATAAATTTAAAATCAGACAGAATTTATACAGTTGAGCTGATCTGGCAATATTTTTGCACCAAATCAATGCGGAGACCAGCATGAATTAAATTAGATTCACAAGAAATTGGGCTTCCTATAAATAGTTTCTATGTTCAAGAACTGTATCCTTCGTGGCCTAGTGAACATGACTGACAAACTTCAAAGTCCATTTATTTCAAGCCCTTCTGCTTCTTTCAACATGAAATGTGAAGTATTTATGTAGAGTGGAAAACGTTATTGAATTAAATGAAATTCATTTTGTTTTATAAAATGTATTCTCAGTACAGACACATGATGACTTTATGTTGGTGGCAGGATATCAGTAGACTAAGCATCCTGTGACCTACCACCATGACACAAATCACAATTAATAAGTGTTTTTCTTAGTTTAGTTCCTTAAAATTATGGAATGTTGTTTCGCAAGTGTCTATTGAAGCAGAGATCATTAGAAAGTTAAGTACCTTCTTATGGCAATGAGAATCTCTGATTTTACCCTGTACTTCCAAATTAATTTCTTTATTTTATTTGGTTTGATTTCTTCTTGTGCTTTGGTTTGATTTCTTCTTGTGCTTTTTTTTTTGCTTGTGACATTTCTTTTCCACCAAAATAAACCCCCTAATTTTGCATGTGGGAGAATGTAAAACATATAAGAATACAGATTAAGTGGAGTCCTGTAGCTCAGTGGTTAGAGCACTCGCTGTGCAAGCGAGAGACCTGAGTTCAATTCCAGACAGGGCGAAACCTTGGGCAAGTTTCCGTACTCCACACAGAGCCTAATAATAATCCCTCCAAAACCAAAAACAATAATAAATTGGTCATTTTCAATCTACGACTGTTTGTGGGACATTGCTGTGCGCAATTGGCTGCCGCGTTCGCCCACAAATATACAGTCAATTCACTATACAGTGTGTTCTGTGAAGCGCTTTGGGACGTCCTCCCGACGTGAAAAGCGCTATATCAAATGCAAGGATTATTATTATTATTATTATTAGATGTCAACCACAAGGTGGCACTGCACTGAGGAAAGCAGTATAACTAACACGTTCTATTTCTGTATGGCGCCATCTAGTGGCTTCAATTGGATACATTGTCATACAAATGTTTAGAGCATTTATAATTTATTGACCACATCAAATCTATTGAGAAAATGATCAAATATGCCCCATTGAAAGGATTTTGAAAAGGAACGACATATGATTCAGGTTTATCCAATGTTCCAAAGAAATATTTTGGAGACTAGATAGGTTCGACTATATAGAATAATGGTGTCCTACTGCTTGCTGTTATGTAAACTGTTATGCTTTTAATAATTATGGTTAGAATAAACTTTCTTACATAGAGGGTTATTAGAACTTGCAGTCGAAAGCATCAACATATTTAAGAGGAAAGCTCTCCAAGACGCCATGCGGTGTGAAAGATGCTATATAAATGCAAGTTCTTGTTGTTGATGCACACACGAAGGAGAGGGGATTAGGAGGTGATGAAGTAACATGTGAAGTATAAATACCGCTATTGAATAGTGCTGTAACTTTCTGTGTAATACTATGCAAAATGTAATTTTTTTTCCAGCTCAAAACGTATACTACGATTTTTGTTTCAATGATTTTAATACAACATCTTATGAAACAATAGTATTTATTGCATTTGTGGGGTCAAATAACCAAGTAAGCAATTTAATCTTTGAAGTTCACTATTATTTTATTATATTTCTGGTATTCCCCTTGACTTGTAACCTTTTACGATTTGTTGAAAACAAGCACTCCACTCCCATTGTCAAGAAAGACAGGTTTTAAAATGGTTGGGTGGTTGGTATGAAGATGGTTATCACACAAGGAAATTCATCACTGGGAATTTATTGCCCTTCTGCTGCATTCCGATGGAACAAAGTGACCTGTTACATGGCAATGGAATAACAAACATTTCTCCAGAAAGCCGAATATAGCTAATTTGTTAAACTTGTATGAAGTCTGATTCACAAGCCATTTAACTCACACAGCCCAAGATAGTTGTGTGGGAATGTTGCTATATGGTATCGTTTTGGCAGAGCAAACATGATGTGCACAAGAGAGAAAATACAGAAAATGAAGAGGAGAAAATGGAAGATAGAGCTCTGACGAATGCTGCATGTGACTGTGTCTGTGAGATGGCAGGAGAAGAAGCCATTGGACAAGTCAAAGTGAAGATGCAACAACAACTGTGAACAGGTACAACAACAACTTGCATTTGTATAGTGCTCCTATAATCTAAAATTACATTTGTATAGCGCCTTTCACATTGTGAGGACGTCCCAAGGTGCTGGACAGTCAGGGATTTGGACCCGAGCAGGAGGGTTGGGATCAGGGAGGGTGGAGGGTAGGGGTAGGAGGGTGGCTGAAGGCATAATTGAAGAGGGGGTTCTTGAGACATGTTGTGAAGGAAGGAGGCAAGGGAGGGAGCGAGGTGAAGGGAATGTGGGATGGAGTTCCAAATGGTGGGCTCAGAGAGGCTGAAGGCCTGACTGCCACTAGTGGGGAGGACCAGGCGGGGGACATGAAGCAGGCTACAGCCTGCTAAGAGGGAGTGGACAGGTTGATATGGGGTCAGCAGGTCAGAGGTAGGGAGAGGCAAGGCCGTGGAGGGTCTTGAAGGCAAGGACGAAGATTTTGAACTCTATCCTTACATTTATACAGCATCTTTCGCTGTGGTGCTGCAGTAAGCGCTGAGCTAAGAGTAAAACCAGGAAAGAACAGAGCCATGGAGGTGAAGGCAGGGAGGTAAGACAGTGAAAAAAGATTGGAGGAAGCAGAGAGCTTGAGGACAAGGGGCAGAGGGAGTCACAGATGGAGAGAGCAGCATTGATAGGAATGAGCTATAAGCAATGAGACAAGCCAAGCTTGCTTGGAAAGGGGATGTCTCAGAGGGGACTTATACAAGACTTTAAATGGGTTTGAGAAAGTGAGTCCTGAACAATACTTTGGATGCACCAAGAGTGTAGAATGAGAGGGCACAGGTTTAGGATTGCAAGGTGCAATTTCAGGACAGACACCAGGAAATATTTCTTTACCCAGAGGACAGAAACAAGTTACCAGGAGGGGTGCTTGAGGCCAGAACATTGGACTTGTTTAAATAACAGCTCAATGTTAGGAATGGAGAACAGTGGAGTGACTGCCCTAGAGGGAAGAGATCGAATGATCCAAATGGCTTCTTCATTTGGATTGATTTTATATGATCTTGTGACTTTGACCATGGCAGCGTCGGTGCTGTGGGCAGGGCAGGTCGGATTAGAGGGAATAGTAGACAGGCTGTTGAAATACTAGTCAGTCTGTTTCATTGGCGACACGGAGGGCAGGTCAGTCACTGAGGGTAGAAATTCTTCCCACTCAGCTCTTGTTAACCCTGCAAGCCAAAACCCTAACGGGTAGGGTTAACAGGAGCTGGACAAGCAGCGGGAAGCTTGCCAGATAGTGGCTCACAATAGCACGCTATGTAGTTTGCTCTTGCCAACCTGCACCAAATGCTTCCTGGAATTAGGTACACAGGGTGCGTTCCCTCCAGGGAGAGAGTGCACATTCCATTCCAAGCACAGGGAGTTTCCATGTGTAGGTGGCAAACGTATATGGAACACTGTCTGGTTTGGATGTTCTCAAGCACAGTGAAACATGACCAAGGTGACCAAACAAAATTAAGGAATTTGTTAAAGCATTTTAGACACCAAATGTGCAGTACTTAACATTGTCATAAAACACATCCACGAAGGCTGGGAAGAGGGAAGGTAAACCAACAGGTTAGACACCTACACAAAGAATGGTGATTTTATGCAATACACTGTGCCTCTTGAGTATTATTTGTAATACAATACTTTTATTTCCTGGAAAATAAAGGCTGCACACTGATAAAAATCGCAATGATTCCACCTTGTGGTTACACCACACACAGTAGTTTCAATCATTGTCAAGTGATTCATTGCATCGACAGTGCAAACTGGGGAACACATAAAACATGACCAAGCTTGCTATTTCCTATTATTACAACTGGTAATTATTGAAGTAATATTTACTTACAGCAACCCCAACACCGAGTGTTCAACTATAATTGTTTTTGGACCAAGGTTGCATGTGGGCTAAGATTCACATAGCAAAGTGAACGATCAAAGTTGAAAAGAGTCGAAGAGAAAAATGAGAAGTCATAAAGTGCTTAGGGGACAAGAAGTCGGTTTTAAAAGCCTGTAAAACATAGGAGACTGAGGGGGGTAACTAAATATGCTATTGAATGTCAACAGTACATAAACATGAGTAATTCATGTGTTTAAATTGCAATGAAACAAGATACAGGACCAAGAGTTGTGGGCAGAATTTCACAACCTGAGTTTATTCTTCAGAAGCAGTTTCACTCCAGTAGGGGAACATATGAAAACGTGGGGAAAAGAATGCAGAAAGTAAACTAAGGGGAGACGCCCCATCTTGGAAAAGGGCTGGAAGGAGGAGGCTGTTCTGGGCAACAGACTGGCTTGAAATTGGGACGAACACCAAATTCATCCATTTTATACAAATATTCATCGCTCAAGTTTTTCCCACTGCAGACACAATTCAATGGTGATCACTTAACCTGGAAGATTAAATATTGAACACTGCAAGTACTCAGTCTGACATTCATGGTCTTAAGACTCCTCACACATCAGAGGGGAGAAAACCTGAAGAAATGAGTGGGAAAGGATTCAAGCGGTGATAATTCACTGAGTTTGCTGAACTCCGCTGATTGACAAGTATGCCGATTACGAGAGTAAATGGGCTTCCACATCTAGCTGTGTGACTCTGTCTACATTTGTGACTCCTACGTTTCTTCTTCAGCATGTTTTGAGCCAATGGATATCACTGTTAAAAAGCTGCTCCAACTTCCAAAAATACAGTAGGATCTGATGTACCGTAATTCAAGAAAAAAGCTTGTGCATGCTAAAATATTTTCAAATGCATTTTGTACCCACTTTATTGTTCATTTAAAAAAAGTACATTTTTGTTTAAATAACCAGAGAGATTGCAAAACAGGAAACAAAAACCGAAATCAGCCATGAAATTAGTAAAACAGAAACTTAATTTTGACTTCTAGAATATAGAAAATTTGGGTATTTAAGTAATAGATCAAAACTGTCAATAGAAAAAGCATAATCAACTACCTGGAATTTACTGACGACTATTACATTTTCTGACAGAATCCTGATTTTTAATCCAATAGATGTGTCAAATACTTTTATCCACATAAATTAAGCAAACTACTTTTGAGTAGAAATGTACCACAATGCATATGCTTTTGTTACACTGCATCTTGACAAAAGTCATCCAATCCTGATCAATCAGTTAAGACACAAATTAATGAGATAATATTCCGTCAAAAGAACTTAAAAAACCTGAACTGAGTACAAGTCTGTAACTCATTTATGCAATAAGAGTATTCAAATGTTCAAACTATTGGGTATCATGAAACAGGTGTACTTTACAACTCTGATTTAATATATTCATCACAAGGCAGTAATACTAATATTTCAGAAGGTTACCATTTTATGCTTAAACTGCAGCATTCTTCTTGAACTAGGTGAAAACTAAGCGTTTTAGTCTTTGTACAAAATAATATTCCTGAAAGTCTTAACTCTTTAGATGGTTTCCATTCAGCATTAAGTTTGGTTTGTCTTTTTAAAATGTGATGTACACTAATTAATTTAATCTTAAATCACATTTTATCAAGTCTTATCAAGAACATTTTGCAAGACTGTTTTGGATGTTCCAGAAATATTCAAAACAGCTTCTGTATAGCAGAAGAAAGGGATACCAATCTTTTTAAAACATACTTAGGAGTTTTATTTTATGATTACAATAAACCAAGTTTGTATTCCATCATAAGATGAGGTTCTCCCATGAATTCACTTTGGGATGGATCTGAAAGGAGAAGGAAAAGATTTTAATGGCAGTGTAATATTCAGATCTTCATTAATTATTCTACTTCCCCCATGTCCACCCCTTATCTATTCAGAAAGGTGCAATGTTTTTAATCAACTTTCCCAGTAAGAGAAACTAACTCATATAGTCTATACTTGGTTCTATGTTTTTTTTTCAAAATTAAAACCACTAATTTGAGAAAATTCATTACATGTGTCAGCCTGGCTAACGGATCGTGGGACCGAGCCAGGGGGAGAGGGGGGGGCGGAGGTGACCATAGGCCCGGTTGAAAAGAAAGGTCTTCAACAGAGACCTGAAAATGGGAAGGGAGGGAGCGAGACAAAGGGAGTGAGGAAGGCAGTTCCAGAGCCTCGGGGCATAGTGGCTAAGGCACGGCCGCCGAGGGTGGAGCGGAGGACTCGGTGGACGAGGAGGAGGCCAGACCCGGAGGAACAAAGGCAACGGGTACTGTTTTGAAGAGAGGTCAGAGAGGTAGGGGGAAGTGTCAGTCTGACATTCAAGGTCCTAGGCTCCATTACAGAGGGCCCCTCTTGTCTGAAGTAATCATGTGTCTGTACCATCAGAGAGGAGAAAACTGAAGAAATTTTTTATTAAGATCCGATGACGCTGGTCTCTCCCAGTGTCCTGGCCACAATCCCCCAAATGCAAAATATGCTCATTTATCTCATGGCTGTTTGTGGAGCATTGCTGTGCACAAAATGTTTGCTGCATTTGCCCACAAAACGATCACTGTACTTTACAGCATATCCTGGTATGTCCTTCTGGTGTGCAAGGGACTATATGAAATGTAAGGATTTTATTATTTAATCAGCATAATGATATCACTGCCTGATATTGCTGTGGTTGATTTCCCCATTCTCTTGCCCAACTGTAGGTCCAACAGCTGCACTAGCTGACATCTTCAGACTGCAACTGAACAATTAACGTTCTGGTCACCGATTGATATGAAGTTCTTCAGTTAGTTTTTGTGCCTCCTGTATGTAAACCATGGCATTAAACCCCTGCAAATAACTTTTATAAAGTTTGAGGTTAAGGATACATGTTTTTATACACCAAGCTCCCAAATTTAAAAAAAAGTCACCATTCAGCACATCTTCAAAGCCAATGCACTCATCACTTCCTCGCAGAGTTTCCAGTGCAATATTTGAACTCATCAGGAAAGGCAAACGTTGGACCTGTTTTGAAACATTAACAGAGTTATATTTTAATAAAAATCGGCTGTATTCAAAAGGACAATGTGAAAATCATTTGGTCTTGAAATCCCAAGTGGCCAGAAACAACTCCTTTAGTTAATAACTCCGTCCCACAGTCCCACTTCGCTCCTTCCCACGCTTCCTTCAAGACCCTCCTTTTCGACTGTGCCCTCGGTCACTCTCTTTCCCCTACCCTCCTCCCCTCCTGATCCCAACCACCAGCTCGGGTGCAGATCCCTGATTGTCCAGTGCCTTGGCACGTCCCCCCGACATGAAAAGCGCTATACAAATATAATTTGTTGTTTGGAACGTCGGTACATAGGAAAAGGAGAAGGCCATTCAGCTCTTCTAGCCTGTTCCACCATTCAATTAGATCATGGCTCATCTAATCCTGTCAATTCCAATTTCCCGCTTTTTCTCCATATCCCTTGATACCCTGACCTACAAAAAATCTATCAACCCCACTCTTGAAAGCTGTGGATGGATCCAGCATCCACAGCCTTTTGGGGGAGAGAATTCCAGACTTCTACCACCCTTTGAGTAAAAAAATGTTTCCTGATTTCACTTAAATGGCCTGGTTCTAAATTTGTTGCTTTTACTACCTGAGGCGTCCTGCTTCTCCCAGTCTATGTGAATAATTAAAATTTCCCATTATAACCACATTGCTTTTGCAACATGCTTCCCTGAACTCCGTATTTATACACTTCCCCACTACATCACAACTCTCTGGAGGTCTGTAGACTACTCCCAACAGAGTCTTACCTCCTTTCCTGTTCCTTAATTCTACCCAGTGTTTCCACGACTGATCGCCCTTACTGAAATCTTTCCTTTCCACTGCTGTAATAGTGTATTTTATCAATATTGTTACTCCTCCTCCCTTACCATGTTATACAAGACGCCAAGGGTCTGGACTGGCTTAGCAAGGTGGAGTGGACAACCGCGGAAGGTGATGCTGTCAGCGCCTGAGGTGTGGAGACACTGACGGGAGCCAATCAGGAGGGCCTCGGTCTTTTTGATGTTCAACTGAAGAAAGTTATCGCTCATCCAGGACTTGATGTCTGACAGACATTCTGTCAGGACAGCAGTGGTCCTGGAGACAAGGGTGGAGGTAGAGTTCAGTGTCATCCGCATACATGTGGAAATTGATCCCATGTCTGCGGATGATATCACCAAGAGGGAGCATATAGATATTGAAGAGGAGGGGACCAAGGACAGAGGCCTAAGGAACGCCGCACAAGACGGTGTGGGGGCTAGAGGAAAAAATGTTTGTGGCGATGAAGTAGAGGTGGTGTGAGAGGTATGATCTGAACCAGTCAAGGACAGAGCTGTGAAGGTTGAGATGAGAGAGTAGTTGACGGTGTCGAAGGCAGCAGAGAAGTCAAGGACGAGGAAGCAGAGGGAGCCCTGGTCGCAGATGGACAGAATGTCATTTGTCACTTTGACTAGGGGTGTTTCTGTGCTGTGGGTGACACGGAAACCCGATTGGAAGAATGTGTGAAGGGAGTGGCGGGAGAAGAAGGAGCGAAGGAACAACTCGTTCCAGGACCTCGGACAGGAATGGGAGGTTGGAGATAGTTCCAGAGAGGCTTTTTTAAGGATAGGAGTAATGACAGTGTTTTTTAGTGGGGTGGGAACAGTATCAGTGGACAAGGAGACGTTTATGATGTCTGTGAGAATTTTGAGGGAAAGGAGGTGGAGCTGGGAGGTAAGGAGAGGGGTAGGGATGGGGTCGAGGGCGCAGGTGGTCGTTTTCATGCGGTTATAGTGGTGGTGAAAGGAGTGGGAGACAGTTTCGAAGGTGTGGAGGGAGGGATGGGTAGGGGCCGGGGTGGGAAGGGGAGATGGGGAGGGTGTAGCAGATGGAAGGGCAAAGGCAGCTGAGCGAATCCCCTCGACTTTGGATTTGAGGAAGTCCAGCATCGCCTTGCGGTTGGCATTTGAGGTGAGGATCAGCGAAGAGTGAGAGGGTGGGCGGAGGAGCCAGTTGGTTATGGAGAAGAGGAGCCTGGGGTTGTCCTTGGCCTCCAAGATTGTCTTGGAGTAGAACGGTGATTTGGGGAAGGTGAGGGAGGAGTGGTAAGGTTTGATAAGGTCCAGCCAGATCTGCCGATGGACTGTTAAGTTTGTTCTAAGCCAGGTGCGTTCAGCAGCACGCACCTGTGCTTTAAGGGAGGGGAAGTGGTTGATATACTATGGTGACTTACATGAATAGGAGACGGGTGGGGGGGGAAGGAGGCTGATAAGGAAAATTTTGAGGGAAAGGTTAGAGGGGTGATAAAAGATAAAGTGCTCAAAGGAGGGGAAGGTTTCAGAGTAAGGGGATAGGCCGAGCGAGAACCACGAGATGAGAGCTACACTGCCACCACGGCAGTTAGGTCGAGGGGTATGATGGAAGGTGTAACCGGGTGGTGTGGCCTCTATTGGGGGAAGGTGTCGCTTGGAGCAATCCAGGTTTCAGTGAGGGCAAGAAGGTTGATGCTTTCGTCGACAATGAAGTCTTGGATGGTAAGTGTTTTGTTGGAGAGGTAGCGGGCATTTTGTAGACCGATGCAGAGGAAACAGTTTGTAGTGGAATGTGGGGGGGTGAGGGGGACGACTGACAGGGAGAGTGGGGATGTGGATCAAAGAGGAGGTTGGCTCCCGTGGTCGTGGACCAATGGGCTTTGCGGTGAGAATGGGGATAGGGCAGTCAGAGTGGCTGCTGTTGGACAGCCAGCAGCGATTCCCACGGTGGACCCAACGGAGGAATCACAGGCTGGAGCAAAGGGAGGCTGTGGGATGGTCGAGCAGGGTTAGGAGTCGGGGAGGGCGGTGGGAGAGGAGGACTGAGCGGGAGTAATGGACGGTAGAGGATAGGGGTGGGAGCATTATGGGGAAGCAGCTCAGGTCAGTGGCGGTAGCCAAAATGTGCAAGCGAAGACTAAGAGCAAACAGTATTACTGTCCACAAATTTCTACATACTGCAGCCTTGAGACTACCTATGTTGCCATTATCGCTTTCTAGCTTCAACTCCATTTAACCTTTAGGTTTATTTATATATATTTTTAAAATTTACGAGGTTTTATCCTTCGTCTTTTATTTGTTTTTAGTTTATTTTCCCCTTAATCTATTTTTCTGTTAAAAATTTCAGGGTAAATAGGTAATCAAGTAATTTATCACCTTTTGTCCTTTGCTCACATTCCTTAATACTTAACACCTTCTTCCTCAGGAATGTTACCGTTGACACCTCTGCGTCTAGACTAACCAAAACTCCCGTCATCTACATGACTTCACTCTCCAATCTCCCACAGGCCCCGAAAAGGCTCCCGCACTGAGTTCTCTCGCCGTTTCTGTTTTTCCTTTACAAGCCACTCGCTGCTCCCCTCGTGATTGCGCCCCTCATTGCTCCGCTCACAACTTCTTGTTGTTGCATTTGATATAGCGCCTTATCACGTCTTCGAAACATCTCAAAGCGCTTCACAGAATATATTGTAAAGTGAATTTTCTATGTACATGTATATTTTGTAGACGAAACGTGGCAGCCAATTGGGCACAGCAGTGTCGCACATCCAGTTGTGAATTGAGTGACCAAATTATTGTTTTTTTGAAGGGATTATTACTCCCGAAAAAGCGATCCACCAATTGACTAACAACTGGGTTCCTACTTACTGCTAGATAAACAGAGGCGTGTGAAGTAAGGAAACTTGCCTAATGTTTTGCCCTACCCGGGAATCAAACACAGGTCCTCTCATTTGCGAGGCGAGCCCTCTAACCACTAAGCTACAGGACTCCACAATAATTCTAGCCCAATCTCTAAGGAAGGTTTATTTTCCACCCACAACCCATTAAATCTCAAAAGTCCTAATTTGTGGAATTTCTATATTCACTAGCAATTCAGTTGCGAGACTGTAGAGGAACATCCAAAGAAAGAGAATATACAGTGGGGGAGGGGGAGAAAGATGTCCATCTCTGTGATGTAAGCAAAACTAGCCCTTGAAGGTGAATGGACAAACTCACAGTATCTACACCCCTCTTGTATCGCCCACTTGAAATTATACTGAATGGAATCTGGATCCATTCACATCTTAAAGACTGAGGGATAGCTATTCGGTAGGTCAGGGTATTAAGGGATACAGAGCAAGGGCAGGTGATTGGATTTGAGATACAGATCAGCTATAATCTTATAGAATGGCAGAACAGGTTCAAGGGGCTGAATGGTCTACTCCTGTTTCTATGAATTTAAAAGTGTACTGCCTCGTATTCACTCACCCAACCCTTTCCCAATTACAGATAATCTCAGAATCTCCACAATAGGAAACCCATCAATTTATGAATTGAGTTTCCCATAGAAAATCAACCGTTGATTATAAAATAATTGCAGGTTCTTAGCTTAGAGGAAACCAAATTTTCAGGAATGGAGCTTTACATGGAACAATTTTATGTATTACAGGATAATTGTAGGCTTTCCTCTCTAGGCAATTCTTGAAAATACTGTTGTCAAATAAATATATGAACATACGAGATGTTATAACTTTGCTAAAACAAGAATCAACATTGAACATTCTATGATAATGGACTGAATCAGCTTCTCCATAACAAATAAATTCAATCAAAATAATAATCAAAAACAACAATCACTGCATTCCGTATAGCACCTTTCATGTCGGAAGGACTTCCTAAAGTGCTTCACAGAATATACTGTTGAGGACTACACAGGAAATGAAGTATGATGGCATCAAACTGCCAAACTATCAACTGCACCAAACTACATTGTGATTAAGTTAAGCAAGTCATTTTAATAAGTCATTATAAAAATTTAGTATCAAAAAATCAAAATGATGAATCCACACTAAAAAACAATTGGGTGGGGGAAGGCGTTGCATTGTTGGAGGTGTTATCCTGCCGATGAAATGTTGAACTGAGGTCCCTGTTCAGGTGGATGTTAGAGATCCCATGGCACTATTCGTAAAGAGAAGGAAGTTTCTCCCAGTGTCTTTTCTGATAATCCCAGGAAATAAACATTCATTCACTTCATGGCTGTTTGTAGGACGTTGCTGTGTGCAAATTTGGCTAGCGCATTCGCTTGTAAATACAGTCTCCTTCACAGTAAAATCCTGTGAAGCTATTTGGGACATCCTCGCAACATGAAAGGTGCTATACCAAATGCAACGAATATTATTATTATGCAGATTCAGCTAAGGCATAATAAACGAATGAAGCCACAAAAAACAAGGTGAACAAAACCAATATGGTGCGAACACTAATTATTATCCATATTATTAAAATGTTGATTCAATTATTTATTGTAGGGATGTAGTGAAGCAATTAGAAACCAGAGCTTTTTTCCTCAACTGCATTTATCTGTTCACTCACATCCACACATCCTAAACAAAAACCTCACTGAATAAACAATTACAGAAATAAAACTACTCCAAAGTATATCTATATATTATATATAATAAACTTACCTGCTGTACTGCTTTGTATTCCATTTGCAATTTTAGTGGTGCATGCAGTCCTTGAATATTTCGCAGAGTAGTAAAATTCATTTTATCTTGAGTGAGCTGAAACTGATAATTGGGAAATGCATAACATCCCATTAGTCTCTATAAGAGATGTGCATTGGATCTGCAGTATCCAATTGGTTAAAAATCAAAGTCATTTTAGTTTGATTCGTATAGCATTTATCGTAATTCTTTTTCTTTGCATCAATTAGTTTTACCTTCTCCAAACCCAGATTTTGCACTATCAAGTCTTTTAAAGGTTATATACACCCTGTACATATACACACACATATATATATATATATACACACACACACAGACCACCTGGGGACTCTGCTATTAATAAAATTCCTATATATTTACACACAATAGAAGGTAGGGTCAAAATCAATTGTAGATTTTCTTTACTTATATGGTGTGATAATGTCACGAACACCTATTCCTCTCCATCAACATTTTGTTAAAAGCTAAATACCCTAAGTTCATTTTGAAAGATGAATTTCCCATAATTTCATGTTATATCAATAACATGAAATTGTTAATTTTATAACATTTCTTTGGCACGATCTTGCGAGTATCTACATTTATAATATCATGGTTTTCACAAGTGCAGGTTGATCTGGTTATAAAATGTTTTAGTGGAGAGCAAGTATTGTATAGATCCACAGTTCCCGAAAGTGCAAGACCTCTGGCATAAATTAGCTGGCTTCCTGTGTCTGTGCGCAGAAACCAGCTGTTCAGTCACAACTGATGCTGCAAGAGTTCTAGAAACGCATGGGAGAGCATTCATGGTTGACCAGTCGGCTTCCTACATGTTGATGGCATGCACAGGAAGCCGATCAGTCTGAAAATGTTGTCAGTGTGACCCAATGAACCAGAGAGGGCTGGCGACCAGTTTATTCCACAAACGCATTATAACACGGTGATTAATTTCATGCATGCGAAACACCTGAGTTATAACTTTGCTGTAATCTTAATTACCTTTTAAATACAGTTTGTCAAAATGTAGTCTCCTATTGCCCCATTCAAAACATTTTTTACATGAGATAATTGAGTTACGTTTCATTTTAGTAATGATCTATTTACTGGTTTTGAACAATTAAATCCTGTCAAAGTATTTCTATATTTAAGGAGTGTCATTCTTCAAATTAAGAGTTTTGATGTTAAAAAAATACATTGCTGCATATGGGCTATGTTTACATTTTGCAAGGTAGGTTTAAATTCATACTTTTAATACTTACATTTTTTTCTGAAATCTCCAGAGGATGACTTGGCAAAAGTTCTGACTTGACATTTGTGAATCTAAGTGCAAGAAACATGGAACTTATTAGACACTTACTTGGTTTGAACCCAAAGCACATTGCATATCCCTTTACTCGACTTCAAGATCCTCACACTTATATTCAAATCCTTTCACTCTCTAGCACCTCCCGATCTCTCCGACCTCCTCACTTCCCAATCCATCACCTCCGCTTGACTGGCACTGGCCTCCTGCTCATCCCTCGCACCCTCCACCCCGCTATCGGAGATCGCGTTTCAGCCACTACGCCCCGAAACTCTGGAACACTCCCTCAGTTACATTGCCTTACCCCCTCTCTCCCCTTTTTCAAGTGCCTCCTGAAAACCTTCCTTACGGCCACTCCCACAGCCACTGTTGAGCACTCTGAGACACCTGCACGGAGGGCACTATATAAATGCAAATTGTTGTTGTTATGGTACTCCGGGTCTGGCCTCCTCCTCGGACCCCGAGTCCTCCGCTCCACCCTCGGCCTTCAGCCACTATGCCCCGGGGCTCTGGAACTGCCTTCCTCACTGCCTTTGCCTCGCTCCCTCCCTTCCCATTTTCAGGTCTCTGCTGAAGACCTTTCTTTTTTGACCGTGCCTTTGGTCATCTTCCCCCTCCGGCTCGGTCCCAGGATCCGTTACTGTAAGGCAATCTGAGACGCCGTCCAGAGTGGAGGGCGCTATATAAGTCCAAGTTGTTGTTGTTGTTGTTACGCTTCCTCGGTGGATTAAATTTAAACTTAAATTTATCTACAGCCTTCACGCAGGATAGTGTAGCAGAGTGCTGGTATGGAGGCACTTTCTACCCAAAAAAGCGCTTCTGCCACCAAAGTGAACATTGGGAAACAGGACAATTGCAGAATTTAAAGATTAAATTCTTAAAACTAGAAATCAATTACAAAATTAGGCAAAAAATAAAATAGCACGAGGATGGGGGAGGTCTCAGAAGGCATCTCCCTCAGCTCTCCTTTGCTTTACATCTATTAATATCCGTGTCTCTAGGTCGCCTCGCTTCCTCCCTTGTGTCCTTCAAGGTGGCCGGGCTTTCAGCCTCTCTGTCCCCATACTCTGGAACTCCATCCCACGGTCCCGTCGCCTCGCTTCCTTCCTTGCCTCCTTCAAGGCAGGTCTCAAGACCCTCCTCTTCGATCGTGCCTTCAGTCTCCCTCCCACTTCTTTGCCTTTCCTCATCCCTAGATGACCCCTCCCCCATGCTCAGGCCCCGACACCTGACTGTTCAGCGCTTTGGGACGTCCTCCCGATATGAAAGGCGCTCTATAAATGTAATTTTGTGGTTGTTGTCCCCTGCACATAACCAATGTACATTCTAGGGCTGTTCTTTTTTGTTTATGAATTCTACAATAGATGTAATGTTTGCAATACTTTAGGAAATAACTAATCATAGATGATATACCTGAAGAGGTGGCTATAACAGTAGGAACAGCACAATTTGCAACTTTTTGAAATGCACACAATTCCCAGTAAATCTTATCTGCATACATTTAATAAACTTTATACAGTTAACTAGCTGTGAATCACCAATTTGCGGGTGAATAGTAAAAGTAACCCTAAATTGAAGGCATCGATACAGCTATTTATTTTCTCTAGTCCATAAAAACAAATTCTTTTCCACTGAAGCTGTAAACGTAATTTTTCAATTACTGCAGAGTGCGAGATATTTCCTACATCTATAACCAGGGGTCACAGTCTTAAAATTAAGAACAGAGCTGAGGAAACATTTCTTCACTCAGAGGGTAATGAATTTATGGAATTCACTACCCCAGAAGGCTGTAGATGCTCAGTCCTTGTACATCTTCAAGGCTGAGACTGATATATTTTTAAAAAATAGAGGAATTAGGGGATATGGGGATAGGGCAGGTAATTAGAGTTAGGTCTGAAGATCAGCCATGATCTTATCGAATGGCGGGGCAGGCTCGAGGGGCCGATGGCCTACTCCTGCTCCTAATTCTTATGTTATTAAAACCTAACCGCTACAATCCCATTGTCACATTTACAACATACACACAATATATCTCTAGCATTTAAGACACTGTTCCAGTGATCAAACTATGCAAAAAACAAAGACTGCTTATGGAAGTGTAAAGACAACCACCCACCATCACTGATGACCAAACTTTTGATTCTATGCCCCGAACCCCTGAACTCCCTCTCTGTAGCCCTTCAACATTTCAATTTTCCCATTTCTCTTTAAATGAAGAGGTGCAGTGCCCAAACCTGAATGCAGTACTCCAGACCAAGGCTCTATATAGTTGAAGCATCATTTCCTCTCCTTTATATTCCAGTCCACTTGAGTTAAAAGTCAACATCCCATTCGCCTTTTTGCTAACTTATTGCACCTGTGAGCTTGTTTTGGGTATTTTGTGTATGTGGACATCCAAATCCCTTTGCTCCTCCATAATTCTTAAGTTTCTCCCTATTTAGAAAATATTCTGTTTTGCTATCTTTGGATCCATTGTGGACGACCTCACACTTTCCGACATTGAACTCCATCTGCCACAGTTTTGCCCATTCATTTAATCTGTCTGAAACCCTTTGTATTTTCCTGCTCCCATCTACACAACTTACTGCCCCTGCAAACTTTGTGCCATCCGCCAATTTGGATATAAAACTCTCTATTTCTTCATCCAAGTCATTTAAATATATGGTGAAAAGCTGAGGCCCCAGTACAGACCACTGGGGAACACCGCTTATCACGTCCTGCCAATCAGAGAATATTCCCCCCTATCCCTACTCTCTATTTCCCGTCTCCCAATAAATCACCAAGCCAAGTTGCAAGGTTACCTCTGATTCTACGTGCTTTTATTTTTGCTAACAACCTCTTGTGCGGAACCTTATCAAATGCCTTCTGGAAGTCCATGTAGACGACATCAATAGACACTCTCTTATCCACCATATTAGTGACCTCCTCAAAAAGTTCAATTAGATTCATCAGACATGACCCACCTTTCACAAATCCTTGCTGACTCTCTTTGATTAGCTCATATATGTCCAAGTGCTCAGTCACTTTGCCCTGATGAGATTCCAGTAACTTCCCCACAAATGAAGTTAACATGACAGGTCTCTACAGTTACCTGGTTTCTCCCTCCCTTCTTAAATAATGGAGTGACATTTGCAATTCTCCAATCCGAGGGCACAATTACCAAATATAGAGCTTTGAAAATTATAACTAACACACCTGCAATTTCCTCCCCTGCATCTTTTAATACCCCGGCGTGGAATCTATCAGTTTCTGGAGATTTGTCTATCTTTAGTCCCATTATTTTCTCCATTATCTTTTTTTATTTATATTAAATCCATTTAGTACTTCTCTTTGACTTATTTTCAAGTTCCCTTGTACCGATGGTATTTTGTCCTCGTACTCTACAGGGGCATACTTATTCTTTAAAAGGAATCTAGTCTCCTTTGGACGAGTGTGGGAAAGTTGCATTTGCCAAAGTAGTACTTGAAAATGTAGGAAGTGGTAAACCAAAAATGGGAGATGAGTTGGTGCATCCTTATCTGTTATGTAAAATACAAGTGGGTAGAAATTATTGGAAATGTCTAAGGCTCAAGCAACAACATAACTCTACACTGATAAATTAAATAGTTTACAAGATGAACAAGACAGCGCAGCAATAAGAATTACATGTGGTTAAGTACATTTAGTTCAAACTATAAAGACATGGCTGGGATAAAAGTGCACAAACATTTATAAACCTCCTCCTCCTCAAATCAACTGAGATAGTTGTATTCTGAGTCACACATTTACGGTCAAAATTCTCAATAAGGGTTATGAGGCAAAATGCATGATTTTACCGAAAGCACGGAGCGAGTCGTTTAACATACAGTTGACCATAATGGAAAGAAATTTGAGAGAGAAAGACTGGGAAGCACAACTATACCCAGTGTGCTGGAATTCTCAATGGAGTGGAGGGACAGAGGGATCTGGGTTTAAAATATAGTGTTAAAATTGGGATTGCAGATAGAGAAGACCATTTAAAGGGCAAACAAAATTCTAGGTTTATATACAGAGCCAGTGAGTACAAAAGTAAGGAAGTATGCAATTTTTGGGTGTTGTATTCTGAAAAGGTTATAAGAGCTATGGAGACTATCCAATGTAGATTCATGAGAATGATACTGGAAATTATCCACTCCGCCTGCTCGGGATTCAAATCCCAGAATGTCCAGTGCCTTGGGAGGTTATTCCGATGTGAAAGGCGCTAACAAATGTAATTTTGTATTGTATTATGAGGAGAACTTAGATTGATTAGATGTTTTCCTTTCAGAGCAGTGAAACATGACAGAAGTGCTTAAAATAATGAAAGGATCAATCACGAAAACCTCTTGAAGGACAAGAATTCAAGATTGTAAAAGGAGATAGGCTACTCATGCTACTCATAGCTATTCTAGAGATGATTTGATTATAGTGCCTTTCATATCTGGAGGATGTTTCAAAATGGTTCACAAAAATACTTGCCAGATAATGTTTACACTGGCAACTTGCACTATTTAAACTCCAGGATTACCCCCAACCCATACTTGAGGTCCCCAAGTCATGGTTCTTGCCAATCTGTGCCCAATACTTTTCTGAATTAGGTAAGCAAAGTGCATTCCTCAGGGAAGAGTCCTTCCATTCCAGACAAAGGGCAATTTTCATGTATATTTGGATCTCTCTGGTTCAGATGCTCTTAAGCATAACAATGTGTTTCTGTGTTGCAGACACTTAGCTGACAAAAAAAATTCCGTCCTCCAGATTGTGGAGCAATAATAGTCTGCAAGTTATTTTCAGTCAAGCTTTTATTTCTACTTAAATTGGTTCCATATTGGAATGTCATTTTTGGAATTTTTGAGAAACGTAAGAAGAGTGACAAAAAATTAACACAACTCATGATTCACTGCGATATTTTCCCAATTTTTACCAGCCATATATTGAAATAAATCCTATTGAAAATAATGCAATTAAGACTTACAATATAGAATTGAAACATTTCTGGAGAGAAGAAAGATGTATCTTAACTCCTTACAAAAGAGCAGTTTCTTAGATTGTCCCATTGCTCAGTGAATTTATTTGAGTGAATAGTTGAGCTAGAGCCAGAGGATGTTAGAAATTTGATCCCTAGCCCGTGCAGCAACAAAAACAAATTACATTTTTATGGTGCCTTTCACATCAGGAGGACGCCCCAAGCGCTGGACTGTTAGGAATTTCAACCTGAGCTGGGCATTGGGATCAGGAGATAGGAGGGTGACTGAAGACTCAGTCGAAGAGGAGGGTCTTGAGATGGGCCTTGAAGGAGGAAAGGAAGGGAGCGAGGTGAAGGGACTGTGAGATGAAGTTCCAAAGGGTGAGGGCAGAGAGGCGGAAAGCCCAACCACCGATGGTGGGATAGGCCGGGTGGGGGAGCGGGAGCAGGCCATAGCCCGCTTAGCAGTGAGAAAAGGGAGATGAGGGAAAAAAATCACCTAGCATCCTGTTTCTGACTGCTATCCAGCATCCAACCTCTAATATGCATGTGTGTCAACACTGGACAAGGAGAAAATCAGTGCTTGCGTGCAATGTGTCATTCCCCATTTGAGGTCAAGTAGCCTGTTCCATATTATGCCTGAATCAAAGACAGTTTTAGTCCTGTAGTGATAGACTGGGTTTGATTCCCGGCAGGGGAAATGTTGGGCAAATTTGCTTACTCCACACGCCTCTGTTTACCAAACAATAAGTAGGAACCCGATTGTTAGTCAATTGGCAGATCACTTTTCCGGGGTAATAATTCTTTCAATATAATAAATTGGTCACTTAATCCGCGATTGTTTGTGGGACACAGTTGTGCACAGTTGGCTGCCGGGTTTTGCCCACAAAATATACAGTCAATTACTTTACGTTATATTCTGTGATGTGCTTTGAGACATCTCGAAGACGTAATAAGGCACTATCTCAAAGGTAATTATTATTATAATAAATCATAACAATAGCAACAACAACAAAATTACATTTGTAGAGCGCCTTTCATGTTGGAAGGACGTCCCAAAGCACTGAACATACTTCTAGTGAATATTCAATTCCAATCAAAATGGACTGCAACTTGCCTTTTGAATTAGGGGAAAGCTTCATCTCTATCAAATTTGAAGATTTTGCTGCAGCACATCTTAATTTCTAAAATGTTTAATTTGAATACATATATTTCCATTCATAACATTCTTCCATTGCTATCTGTCCAACAAATGTGGCCTCTGGAGCAGCATATAGTTCCGAAGAACTATCATTGTTTTTTTGCAATTCTATTAGCGTAAAAGCAAACAGATGATTAATGATAACAAAGCTTTGCATTTGATATAGTATTTTATGTTGAAATTTTTCAAGGCACTTTACTGTTGCCGCAATGATCCACAATCTAGTTTTTGGTCAACTGGGTTTCTGACACTGTGGGAACCCCAAAAAAACGTACTAAAGAGTATCCAAATGGTACAAAGTTCTATGTGTGCCAGCTACACATGGTAATATCAGTGTTTGGAATGGAATGTTCATTCACTCCGCAAAGGGTCATATCCTGCTTACCTAAATCCAGAAATTATTACACAAGATTGGCAAGACTTTTCAACGCTCTGAAACATGTGTTTGGGGTAAGCTGTTGTGTAATTATCTGAAACCACATAATGGCCATTGAAAGCACTGTCTGGCAAGCTTTCTGCTACTTATCCAGCTGGGACCACCTTAGTCATTAGTGTTTTGCTTACAGAGTTAACAGGCACTAAGTGGGAAGAATCCATGTCCTCCCCACAATGACCAGTCTGCCCGTCTGCATCCTAACATTAAGCCAGGCTGCATGGTCTGCTATCAGCAGTGACCCGGAGTACTGCAGACCTGCCTGGTTAGGCTACTGAGACCGCCACACAGGACTGACTCAATTCCAACATTCTTTTACTGAGCATATCACCTTGAACCCAGCTCAAAGGAGACCCTGCTTTTTCTCCCCCCAGTCAGAAGGTGAATGACCAATTTAACTGGAGGATTTGTTGGCCAGGACAACGATTTAACATTCATCCGTACACAGATGAGACCTCAGTTTAAACGCTCATCTGAAAGATGGGACCTGTAACAAATCAGTCATTTATCTAGTTGGGAGTTTCAGCCTAGACCTGACTCAAGGCTTTGAACCCACAACTTTCTGATCCATGTTGTTAACTCAGTGCCAACAAACACCAATGGTAATATTGGCCACAAAACGCACCGTGAAATATAAAAAAAATTCCCCGTGTGCTCGATTACACAATCTTCCACTCTGGAGTTCCAGTGACAAATTCCTGGTCAAGAACGTCTTGCTGGGTATCACTTGACTTAAAAGCATAAATCTACATAGAGAACAGTGAGTTCCAAAAAATATTAGAGAATACAATAGTCTGAATGGTTTGCAGGGTGGGTCAGATACTTGATCTCCCGATAAGAATTTCATAACACAATTTCAGGAACCTGCGATTTGTGAAGTCGTCTTGTAGATCTCTTCTCTCTGCATATACATTAGAATTACTGCAAATTAAGATTCAAAACTATTGATATTGATATCAGTGATACTGAGCTGCACAAAAAAAGAGGGACTTGAAAGAATTTCACAAGTGTGATTCTTTTCCTAGCACGGTATTCCACTCAAAATATGCTCATTTGTGCCATTACAACCCTAAATGGTTGTTTTTCGATTCAAAATATTTAAGACAATCCTTACTCAAATGCAGACCATAAAGTATGCTTACCCTCTACGAAGTGTGTCATGTACACCAAAGGATTCTGCATAAGGATTGAGTTCCCCAGGGATGCTCTCCTTCATCTCTGACCTAAGTCCTCTGGTATTCTGCAACAAAAAACATTACAATTAAATCTAAATCAGAATGGTCCAACCAGGGGCCCGCAGGCCACATCCGGGGAATGATTTCATTCAAACCGCCCACTCCCTCCCCAGCAAGGGGATAGTGAGGCCAAGGTTGGCCAGGAGACCCGCATTCCTGCCCCTCAGCTCGGGAGGGACCTCCTGACCGAATGGCACCAATGGCCAATGTTTCCAATCCCTTAGCTCAATGTGCTGCAGTCTGTCAGGAAGCCACACTGGAAGAAGGCTAGCGGGTTTCGCCAACCACGTCCTCCCAACCATCAGCTCCTGCCGCTGCCAGATAGTGAGCCAAGTGGCTAAATGAAAGACGGTGGGGAGAAGAGTAATAACGTGAGAGAGTCTGGGAGAGGGAGTGAGAGAGTCATATCAGTCAGGATCATAACATTTAATATGACTTGCACTAAATACAAGTTTGCCCATATTGTATAAAATACGATTTAATCAATAATCTACACTGCGTATGCATACTTTATACTTCATAGATTTCTTTGCACTAGTCATATTTTATGAAGTATAAGTATTATAATAATAATCCTTGCATTTGATACAGCGCTTTTCACGTCGGGAGGACGTCCCAAAGCGCTTCACAGAACACACTGTAAAGTGAATTGACTGTATATTTGTGGGCGAAAGCGGCAGCCAATTGCGCACAGCAGTGTCCCACAAACAGTCATAGATTGAAAATGACCAATTTATTATTGTTTTTGGTTTTGGAAGGATTATTATTAGGCTCTGTGTGGAGTAAGGAAACTTGCCCAAGGTTTCGCCCTGTGCCTGGAATTGAACTCAGGTCTCTCGGTTGCAAAGCGAGTGCTTTAACCACTGAGCTACAGGACTCCACTAGTCGTATTTTATGAAGTATAAGTATTATACTTTATAAAATACAACTAGTGCAAATAAATCTAAGTGTTTTTGGTAGGAAATGGAATGGGACTTAGGCGATCATACAACTTATAAAGACTTCTGAGTTTTACTGTATAATACTGGTCCAATGTCTCAGTGGCTGTGTTATAAATGAGGTGTGAAAATGGCTGAACTCTGGCTCGTCAGATTACTACCTTCCTATTAATGAGACATCAGTAGAGCTTCATGCGTATTCCGCAGTTTGCAGCAGGTGACAACAGTAGTGCTTCCCACTCACAACAGTAAGCAAGAAACGATGACCCAGAAGTCAACTATAGAAACATACAGCACAGAAGGAGGTCATTCGGCCTATCACGTTGGCTCCTTTAACATCAATCTCTTCAGTCCCATTTTGTTGCCCTTTACTCATACCCATGTAGGCATTTCCTTTACGATACTTACCTAATTGCCTTTTGAAATCCAAGATATCGCAGGATATTCCATTTCCTAACAACTCGGTGTATGAAAAACATCTCCTAACCATCCCATTACGTTTACTAACCGTACTTTACTTTGAAGTTAACATTAGATAAACTGACTAATATTTATTGCCCCCAATATCAACTTAAATTTAAAAAATGTCCTTCACATAGGATAGCAACTCGGGATTGCTGCAGAATGGCGGAGTTAGACACTGACTGAGGGAGAGGAGAACCAAAGACACAAAGAGATAAATCTTAAGAGATCACCAATGGGTAACCAGGGGACATGCAGCAGACCTGTGCCCACTGAGTGAAGGGGGTAGCAGTGGAGAGTGATATGTGCAGGTCAGAGGGCTAGGGAGTGAAGGGATTTTTAGGTGAGGATAGGATCTTGAAATCCATTCTTTCGGATCCTGGGAGCGAGTGGAGCCTGGAAAAGATGGAGATGACCTAGATTTAGCCAATTTAGGCCAACCTAGATTGAATCCACACATCTGGTAAGAGCGTTTAATTCTGAGACGCATTACAATGAGTCAAGATTTACAGAAATTAGAACGTTGCTAAACATCTGTTTCAAAGTTTTTGATGGGAAATGAACAGGAAACGTATAGCAGCAAAAATAATAATCAGCACAGACTGATTTGCTGCTGTTAATCAGGTGTGAGCGGGAAGTGGGAGAAAAGGATTTGAGTCACGATGCCATCCCATACTGGGATGAACCACAGGGTGAAGAATTGTATCATCTAAACACCCGCCAAGCACAGGGAACACGAAACACCCTCCGTGACTGAGGCGATCAGATTAAACCAGCATCTTCCCCTCGCAGAGAGTGGGGGGGGGCTGTGTATGTGTGTGTGTGTGTGTGAGGGGGCTGTGTATGTGTGGGAGGGGGCTGGGCTGTGTATATGTGTGTGGGGGAGGGGGCTGTGTATGTGTGTGTGGGAGGGGGGGCTGTGTGTGTGTGTGGGGGGGGGGGGCTGTGTGTGTGTGTGGGAGCTGTGTGCGTGTGTGTGGGAGGGGGGGCTGTGTATGTGTCTCGAATTCAAGATCCTCATCCTCACCTACAAGGCCATTCACGGCCTTGCTCCCTCCTACCTCTCCGACCTACTATCCCCCTACCTACCTGCCCGTACCCTCCGTTCCTCTGGCTCCGGTCTGCTCCACATCCCCCGCCCCAACCGCCCTACCATCGGTGGTCGGGCCTTCAGCCTCTCAGCCCTGAGGCTCTGGAACGCTATCCCCCGGTGCCTTCGCCGCCTCCTCCCTTTCCTCCTTCAAGGCCGGTCTCAAGACCTTTCTCTTTGACCGTGCCTTCAGCTCCCCCCTCGACTCTCTACCCCCTCCTCGCTCCCTCCCTTCCCTCCCCTCACCCTGACCGTTTCCCCCCCCTCCCCACCCTGCTCGGGTCCCGACACAACTGTCCAGCGCCTTGGGACGTCCTCCCGACGTGAAAGGCGCTCTATAAATGGAATCTTGTTGTTGTATGTGTGGGAGGGGGCTGTGTGTGTGGGAAGGGGCTGGGCTGTGTGTGTGTGTGTGGGAGGGGGGGCTGTATGTGTGTGTGGGGGGGTTGTGTGTGTATGTGTGTGCGAGGGGGGGGCTGTGTGTGTATGTGTGTGTGGGGGGGGGCTGTGTGTGTATGTGTGTGCGGGGGGGGCTGTGTGTGTATGTGTGTGCGGGGGGGGGGGGCTGTGTGTGTATGTGTGTGTGGGGGGGGGGCTGTGTGTGTATGTGTGTGTGTGGGGGGGGGCTGTGTGTGTATGTGTGTGCGAGGGGGCGGGAGACATTTAGCACAAGGAGCTCGTTAACGAAACACCGGGAGGTGGATTTCGCTTTCGCTTCAGGAATCACAACTAAACTAAGTTGTTTTTTTTTTGCTGTGAGAATCTCGGAGGTTCTACCAACAACTCGTCGAGAGCACCGCCTTCCCTGTCCCCCCCCTCACACACCCCCCACTCACACACCCCCTCACACACCCCCAGCGCGCCCGCCCCAGGCCCCCGGTCACCGCCACCCACTGCCCGCCTCACTCGGCCAACTAGGCCGCAGCCTCGGTGACGAGTCAAAAAGCTGCCGACCCGCTCCCGCTGCAGCCCCCGCCACAAGGGAAGCGGGTCGCGGCCTCCCCCGGGGTGGCCTCCCCCCCCCCCGCTGCTTGGTGAGGTGGGGGTGGGGGTGAGGTGAGGAGTGGGGGGGAGACCGTGCGCGAACCCACCATTTTTCTGCCGCTTAATCTTCTCCTGACCGACCGCTCCGGGACTCACTCACTCACTCACTTCCTCTGACAGCTTCCGGTTCCGGTCCGGGGTCACGTGGCGGCTGTGGGTGGGGAGGAGCGGCTCCTGCGTTGGGGAAGGTGGGAAGTTGTCCCACATTGAGGGAAGCAGTGCCCCTCCTCCTCTCCCCTCCTCTCCCCCCCCTCTCCCCCCCCCCTCTCCAGCCACTGTCTGGGCACCAGTCTCGGCTCTCGTCAAGTTACACCCAAACTTCAACGGGAATTCATCGACCTCCGGATCCTCGTGTTCAAATCCCGCCACTCCCCGGCGCCTCCCCCCCTCCCCCCACCGCTCCGACCTCCCCACTCCACCGCCCCGCGCCTCCGCTCCACTGGCGCCGGCGCCCGCTCGTCCCTCGCGCCCTCCGCCCCCACCAACACTTCTTGATCTATGCCGTGAATCAAGAAAAAAAACTGAAAACGCACGACCGATTGACTAAGCAGCGCCTTGGGACGTCCTCCCGACGTGAAAGGCGCTCTATAAATGGAATCTTGTTGTTGTTGTTGTTGTCAGGACTTGTCTAGACTCACGCTAATGTTCGGGGGCCACTTCGTGGTGGTTCCGTGGGCCACAGGTTGCCCACCCACTGAGATAGGTGTTTGGGAAACAAGTTGATGGAAGGATATAAGAGAGTAGAAGACCCTTTCAACGTTGGGGCAGATGAGAATAATTTGGCCTTTTCTGGTCTTGAACTTGGGAGTTTTCATTTGATTACTTTTGGAGTTCAGAATATTTCCTTTAACCGAGTGGGTAGATTTTTCTTGGTGTGTATAAAGTGCAATGGGCTGAAGCAGGCTTCATATTCTCCGTCTAACCCACCCCACCATCAGCGGGGGGGCTTTCAGCCATTCTGCCCCTGCTCTTTCGAACTCCATCCCAGAGTCTCTCCAACATGCTCCCTCCTTCTCTCAAGGTATGTCTCTTAATTCCGCTTTGTCCCTGCTTTTGGTTGTTTCCCTTTCCCACTCCCTCGGTTCCAATCCCCTGCTCAGGTGCCCAGCCAGCATTAGCATTTTGAGACAACCGCCCAATGTGAAAAAGGCTCTATAAAATTTAAATTGTATTGATCACTTTCCTCTTTTACGCTATTTTGTTGTTGAGTTTTGAGACATTGTTAGGCTTCAGTTTATTTATATCCTTTAGTATCTTGAAATATTTCAATTCGACTCACTTGAGCCTTCCCCAATTGGAATATTCCCACTTTCTGTAGCTTCATGTAACTCAGGTTTCGACTCCCAGTAATCAATTAGTTGTCCTTCACTATACACACTTTCACATATGGAACTAAGAGTCACAAGCACAGTGGCTTAAGTTTGCAGATAACACCAAGCTAATGAAGGGATAGATTGAACAAGATAGGATTTGAATATACTTGGTAATTGAGCAGATCAGTGGCAGATGAAATTCAATGTGGAGAAATGTAAAGTACTACACATGGGGACAAAAATCCCTGAAGGGACTATTATTTGAATGGAAGGAAAATAATATGTATGGAAAATGAAAAGGACCTGGGGGTCCTGATTGACAATAAATTGAAGTTCTCCCAACAATGCCCTTTGTCAGTGAATAAAGCACATCAGGTGTTGGAATGTATCAAAAGATCAATAGCAAAGCCAAAATAGTGGGGCAATCCTGCCACTGTATAAATCATTGGTGAGACTATACTTAGAGCACTGTGTACAGTTCTAATCGCCGCAGTCCAAAAAGGATATTGGAGAAATCGAGCAGATACAGAGAAGGGCAACCAAAATGATTGAGGGAATGGAAGGACTAGACTATCAGGAGCGACTCAGCTTGTCCAGTAGAACCAGAGGTGCTTGCATTACTGCAATTGAAGGGGGGGATATTCAGAACGAACGTACACAAACACTATTTCAGTGAGCGAATAGTGAACCTGTGGAACAGGCTCCCTAGGGAGATGGTTGAAGCAGGAAATGTTGATTCTTTTAAACACAGATTAAATAGTTTTATTTCAGGAAATAACATTATGGGATACAGTACATAGGTAGTTTGGGACATATGTGCACGCGACTGTCAGGAAGGTGGAAGGTAAATTAGATGGACCTTGATTTTTTTTGTCTAGCATTTTTTATGCTCTTATGTTATACATAATGCCCCTCTGAAAGCAGAATTCACTCATCCTCACTATTGACTTGGATGTCTTTCCTCCATATTCCCTAGCTCCAGCAACAATTAGGCAATTATATGATTTATACAGATCAGACTTCTGCGAGTTTTACTGTATCTACCTCTCTGACTGCATGTTTGACAGAAGTAGCCATTGTTGGTTTGGATACTTTGGTTGCCTCTATTGGAAAGCTGATTCATGATACCTTTGATTTACTTGGAAAAAAGTTGAAAAAAAACACTTTGGAAAGATTTGTGAATTTCAGAAAATTTCAAAACAGGGATTGCAGTTGAAGATGTGTTGCCATTCACCAGTGCTGTAAATGCAATATGACTTACTATTGATCTGCACCAATATGAGTAATCCAAGTTCCAGGCGAGGGATTAAAATTCCAGCATTAGACACTCATAGTGAGTAACAAGTCAAACCAAGGGTAAGGGCTTGGTGTGGCCATCAAGTGACGTTGTATCAGGGAGTGGGCCTTCCACTTTCACTGAAACACTTCTTGGACACTTCTTTGTTGGAGTCTCACTCTCCTTGATGTAAATTAGTTGATCTGTATAAATGTAACACAACAACAACAACAACTTGGATTTATATAGCACCCTCCATGCCGGACGGCGTCTCAGAGCGCTTCACAATAATGGATCCCGGACCGAGCGAGGGGGAGGAAGGTGACCAAAGGTGTGGTCGAAAAGAAAGGTCTTCAGCAGAGACCTGAAAATAGGAAAGGAGGGAGTGAGACAAAGGGAGTGAGGAAGGGAGTTCCAGAGCCTCGGGGCATAGTGGCTGAAGGCACGGCCACCGAGGGTTGGAGCAGAGGACCCGGGGGACGAGGAGGAATGCAGGGACTTGAATACAATGGTGAGGATCTTTACTAAATCTATAGAAAATGTATAGTTAGTGAATGTTCCAAAGACACAAATTTATATAGGAACATGGACTGACTAACTCATATTGCACATTAATTCACCCAAAACAGCAATGAGTGGCAACAATGGCTGAAAGAAAAATTAGCTGAAATAGGTTCACTCTATCTGTGCTGTATCTACAATCAAACTTTTTTTGAGTGGTTTTCTTTGCATTTACCCATATAAGAACAACCACTTGCATTTATATAGCATCTTTCACATAGGGTAATGTTATAGAGCTCTTTAGAGGGACTGGCTTAGATGCCGAGCAAGGGAGAGCGATAGGGGAAGTGACTATAGGTATGTTTGAAGAGGTAGGATTTGAGGTAGGACATAGAGGAGTGAGATGAAATTTTAGAGGCTGGGAGCTCCAGAGGAGGGGGACAAAGAAACTGAAGGCTCAGTCACCAATGGTGGGGTTAATAGGGCAAGAGACACGCAGTAAGTCACTAGTTAGGACAGAGCGGAAGGGATAAGCAGATGGGTAGGGTAAGTGAAGATGCAAGAGATAAGGAGGTGCCAGGAACTGAACAGCTGTGTAATAATAATCCAGGAAGCAGGATCTGAATAGATTCATAATAATAATCCTTGCATTTGAATACAGCACCTTATCACGTCTTTGAGACATCTCAAAGGGCTTCACAGAAAATACTGTAAAATGAGTTGACTGTATATTTTGTGGGCAAAAATATTTATTTGTAGGTGATGGTGAGGACCTTGAAATCGATCTGCTTGGAGACAGTAGAGACTGAAGAGGGCTGGGGACGTGCAGAGTTTGATGCAGGTGAGGACGCAGTGGGGGAGCTTTGGATGAGTTGCAGCTTTATAATATTTGGTAGATTCCGTTCTGTTCAGGCAAGAGCAATTCGTTTGCAGATGTTACTAGATAAATGTGATTTTATACAATTGGTAGAAGGAAACATCGAATGCAAAATTACATAGACATTTGTTTCATCAGAAGGGGAATCGTAAACATTTCAAAGTCACGCCCACCCTGTTGATGCTGAACTTCAGCTGTGTCCTCATGATGACCTGTGTCTCAGGATTACTACACAGCTTGCCTCCCGTATTCTTCAGTATACGCATGTTAATACCCCCATGTTGGGGAATGTGATGCTTTGTGCAGACAACAATGCTACATTTTCAGACTTTTAAGGCGTGTGTGGTGTCTGTGCACATACTGTGTGGCAAGTAAGTTATTTTGTAACTGATGTTTTTTTTTGTCTTTCAGTACAACCATGTTTCAAGTGTTGCATCTATCAAACGTGTCATTGCTTGCACAGCAAAAGTATGATGAAAAGAGGGTACTAGGAATAGAATAACCAATATCCCATTTCTCAGACAAACCATCCATCAAATTGGATGACCCCCCCCTCAAAGACCGTCCACATTTAAGAAGATAGATTAAAGGTATGTGTGGCAATTAACCCCAGGAACAGGAAAAATCAATTGAAGTATTCTACTCTTGTGGGCGCTTCACCCACAGCACACACAGTCAAAACCTCATGACAGCAAACAATGGGGTGGCGGAAGTATGTTTCCATCACCCCACCCCTCTAACGTAAAAGCTTCTGTCTATGGTGAGCTTGGCTTCAATGTCAATCTCTGAGTCAGCCTCTGAGTGCAAGTGCTGTGTAGCCAGTTTATAAACCACCCATTCTGTGTTCCTGTAATCGCTGTTTATTTCAGATGATTTTGCTCTAACCTGGGTCAATTTCACCTCAAAGACGCCATTGGCTTTGGTGAAGGTGGAGGATCACTTTGGCGTCTTTTGTCACAATTTTGCCCGGATCTCGGACTTCAGACCCCCAATTATAAAATGTTTACGCCACTGATGATTTATATGATGCTGCATTTTAACATGCAAATGGTCAAGCTGCTGTGGTTCATGTATGACACTTGCTTTGCAGTTTTCGTTCTGTGCTGTTTATTATTCTAATTATGATTATATACATTTGAAGATAAAAGAGGCTGGAATTATTCTCCTTAGAGCAGAGAAGGTTGAGGGGAAGTTTAATAGAGGTGTTCAAAATTATGAAGGTTTTGATAGAGTAAGTAGGGAGAAACTGTTTCCTCTGGGCACAGATTTTAGATAATTGGCAAAAGAAGCAACAACAACAAGATTACATTTGTATAGCCCCTTTCACATCGGGAGGACGTCCCAAGGCGCTGGAGACGAGTTGAAAATTGTTTACCCTAGAGAGTAGTTACGATCTGGAATGCATTGCCTGAAAGGGTGGTGGAAGCAGATTCGATAATAGCTTTCAAAAGAAAATTGGATAGATACTTAAAAAGGAAAAATTTGCAGGGCTATGGGGTAAGAACGGGGGAGTTCCTTAAAAGAGCCAACACAGGCGCGATGGGCCGAATGCCCTCCTTCTGTACTATAAAATTCTATGATTCTACGAGCAAGAATGGTGAAAGATATGGGGAAAATGTGGATACATTAGCACTAGCTTAAGCTTGATGGGAATGTACTCAGTGATTCTATTGGGGGAATCCTATTCAGTGTTTCCTGACTGCTCCCTCTGCTCTACAGGAACTGGCTTGCTCCGCGTCTCCCGCTCTGTGTGTTCCACTATTGGAGGTTGGGCCTTCAACCTTTCCACCCCCAACCTCTTGAATTCCATCCTGGAGCCCCTCCGCCTGCTCCCTCCGTTGCTTCTTTCAAGGCCTGTCTCAAGACCTCCTTTTCGACTGTGCTTTCAGTCATCTTCCTTCTGCCATCTCCCTTGCACTCCACCCCTCTCTGTTCCCAACCCATAGCTTGGGTGCAAACCCTTGTTGGCCAGTGCCTTGGGACATCCTGCTGACGTGAAAGGCACTATATAAATGCAATTTGTTGTTCGATTCTACAAAACACTTTCCTTAGAATGCATCAGTGTTGTCCAATAGTTGATGTCTTCCAATGTGCTAGTCAAAAATTGGAATCTGTAACACCACTATGTCTGTGCAATAAATGTTTAAATGTCTGCCCACAGTCTGAATATCCTTTATAACAGATGGAACTAGAATCATATTTCATAATCACTGTTTAACTTAGTTTGTGCAGCACGACAGACTGCAAAATATCTTCCTATAAACTGTAATAATTGTAATACTATCTCAGCTCAAATATGGCATCACATGGCAGCTTCCCAAGTCTCAACTACTGGACATTGGATATATAGGTCAGCAAATTAGCTACAATATTCACTTAATTACAGAGTCCAAGATGTTATCCTACAGGAATGGAGCTATATAAATGCAAGTTATTTATTTCTAATTCATTTTGTCTGTAAATAATTTCAAGACAATTGAGAGGACCCAGGTTCGATTCCCGGGTGGGACAATACCCTAGGTAAGTTTCTTATTCCACGCACCTTTGTTTATCTAGTAGTAAGTAAGAACCCTGTTGTTAGTAACTGGGGATCACTTTCTGGGGGTAATAAACCCTTTTAAAAAATGTGGTCACTCAATCCACTATTATTTGTGGGATATTCCTGTGCATAGTTGGCTGCCACGTTTCGCTCACAAATTATAGTCAATTCACTTTACAATATATTCTGTGAAGTGCTTTTAGATACCTCTATGACGTGATAAGGCATAATATCAAATGCAAGGATTATTATTATTATCTACATGAAAGACACTATATGTATGTATGTGATTGTTGTTAGTACTATTCAACAATATAAGGCATGAATTTGCATGGAGCCTTGAATCAAATCTATTATGTTTTCTTAGTTAATGTTTCCAGACTGTTTGACCACTAAAAGCACACAAACCATTGAAAGCAACAACTGCTATTTTAGTGAGTGTTATTATTGGGTGGAATTTTCAAGTAGGGGGTAAGATGGGCAAAAAGGGTTCTCAGTACCTTGACCAGAACATTATTGCAACACTACCCGCATTAAACCTTGGTTTCCAATTGTATAGGGTAGGTGCAGAATTCAGTATTAGTGTAAGTGTTGAAACTTTGTTTTGCATAAGTTGACCTGCGCATAAGTGGTGTCATCTTGAACGTTAAGTATTTAATGGTGAAATTTGCAATTTTACAATAACTGGTAGGAAATTGAGGGAATGTTCGCGATTGGTGCTGAAAATTGAACTAAACATAATTTGGATGATAATGTACAATGTGATGTTAACATTGCTTTTTGCTACTTTTGTTGCTATTGCCTCACTCTCTGTTAATACCTCTGCCTTGCCTGCAAATTCCCCATCTTCAGATCAAGTCTGAAAACCTTACTCTTCGACTGTACTAATGGTCAACTTCCCCTTCCCCCCAGCTCGGTATCATGCTTCACCACTGTGAAGCCCTCTGGGACGTTACTGTGTGAGGGGTGCTATATAAATAAAGCCCTGACCTGAGCCTCCCTCTCCACTCTAAATGTCTCTCCTCCCACTCTCCTCTATCCACTACACCCCCTCTGTCCTTCCCTCCCACCGTCCTCCCCGCCTTCTCTCTCTCCTCGACTCCATCACCACTTCCCTCTGCTCCAACCTGGGCATCCTCCGCCAGGCCCACTGTGGCTCCCGGCACTGGCTGTCATAGAGCAGCAACCCCACATGTCCCATCACTCACTCCCTCCGCTCAAACCGCCTCCTTAAGGCAAACCCAACTCCCCCTTCCCTCATACACACCCTCCCCAACTCTCCATTCACATCACTCTCCACAACTATCTCTCCTGTACAACCCCAAATCCTCTCCGCACCACTCTCTCCTCCCTCCCCCCCCCCCCCCCCCCCCCCTCCAGCAAACCCACCTGCATTTCCCTCCAAAATGTCCGTTCCCTCTCAAATAAAGCCCTCACCATCCACAACCTCATTCTGGACGAGCACCTTGACATTCTTGGGCTCACCGAAACCTGGCTCTCCCCCAATGACTCCGTCCCCCTAGTGGAAGCCTCCCCTCCAGGCTACACCTTCCACCACACCCCCTGTCCAAACCAACGTGATGGTGGGGTGGCCTTCATTTCCAAAGCCTTCCTTGGTCTCACCCCCTACTCCTCTAGCTGCTTCCCCTTCTTCGAGCACCTCACCCTCTTCCACCCCTCTCTTCCTTTGAAAACTCTCCTTGTCTACCGCCCCCTATGCCCCCGGCACCTTTCACACAGACATCTCCACTCTCCTCTCTTCCCTATCCCTCTGCTCTGAGCGCCTACTCATAATGGGCAATTTCAACCTCCACCGAAACTCCCCTTGCACCACTTCTGCCGATTTCACTGCCCTCCTCTCCTCCCTAAACCTTACCTTCCATATAAATTCACCCACCCACAACCATGGTCAAACACCTGACCTCGTCATCCACCATGGCCTTGACATTTGTGACCTCAGCATAGTGGACAAGGCCATCTTGGACCACTTTTTCATTTCCTTCTCCTCTCACATCCCTCTCTCCTCCACCAAGCCCTCAACTATCCTCTACCGCCCTTGAAAAAGGCTACCCCCTGAGACCCTCACAAAGGCCCTCTCATCATCAAACATCCTATCCCTCTGGCCTTCCACCCGCGGAGATCCTGAAGCAGCCATCCAGTTGCTCCATGATCGCCTCTCCACCTTCAACTCCCTCGTCCCCCTAAAATCCAGGAACATCTCCAAACCCACCCAATCCCCCTGGTACAACAACTATCTCTGCCGCCAAAAAATCCAAACCCGTCTGCTCGAGAGCAGATGGCGGAAAACTGGCCTGACAGTTCACCGCCAACTGTGGCTCGAGCATCCCCACAGCTACTGCTGTTCTTTGACACACGCAAAAATGGCCTTCTACTCCAACATCATCTTGGAGGTTAAACACAACCCTAAAATCCTTTTTTACACCACCCACTACCTCCTCCGTGCCCCCACTCAGGCCTCCTCAATCTTTGTATCAAATGCCAAGTGCGAGGAGGTCATGGACTTCTTTTCGTTTAAAATACTTAACATCTGCCAGACAGCCTCATCCACCCTCCCCTTGTCACCCACCAACACACCCTCTCTGTCCCCCTCACCTTCCTCATCACCTGACTCTACCATCACCGCCATTCTACATTCCTTCCTCGCCATCTCTTCCTCCTCCCTCTCACCCACCATAACCTCCGTGAAACCCACCACCTGCTGCCTCGACCCCCTCCCCACCAACTTACTGGTCACCCAGCTCCCCCTCCTCTACCCACTACTGGCTGACATCATCAACCAGTCCCTCTCCTCTGGATCAGTCCCTACTTCCCTCAAAACTGCTGTCATCACTCCCCTCCTGAAAAAACCCTCCCTCGATCCCTCAAACCCCTGCCATTTCTCTATTTCTAACCTGCCCTTCCTCTCAAAAGTTCTAGGATGCATTGTTGCCAACCAACTTCGCACACACCTCTCCTCCCACTCCGTCTTCGAACCCCTCCAGTCCGGTTTCCGCCCTGCCCACAGTACAGAGAC